TTTTTTTTTTCATTTTATAGTACATAAAATAAGCTTTAATTTGATATATGTTTAAAGGACGCAGTATTTCCAGAACATTTTCAAAAATTAAGTTGAAAAAGTTAGTTTTTGTAAAAAAGTTGCTATTTTAAATAATAAAAAAAAATTTGTCCCGACACCTTAACTACTATGTGCAAATTTCTGTCGAAATTTAAAAAAAAATGTAATATTTGCGATAAAAATCACCTTCTATAAGGATGTTTTTTGTACTTAAAACTGCCATAACTTTTTCAAATATTAACAAATCAACATAAAATTTTTTTATATTGAATCCTTTGGTAATTTCCTTTCGTTTGATATCATTTTTTTTGAATATCTAACACTTATTCTGCTCACAAAGGGGATTTAAAATAGTAACTTTTTTACAAAAACTAACTTTTTCAAATTAATTTTTGAAAATGTTCCTGAAATACTGTGTCCTTTAAAGATATATCAAATTAAAGCTTATTTTATGTACTATAAAATAAAAAAAAAAAAATTTGCCACCCCACTGTGCTGGGTTTTTTCTTTTAAGTTTTATTTCAAAATTTTACTGATTTAGGTCAAATTATTAATGTATGGTGTATTTGAATTACAATTTGACTGTGTTTTGAGTTGTGTATTAAAAATTGTTTCATTATGATTATAAACAAATTATTTGTTTAAGGTTAAAATGTTTATTTATATTTTAAAACCAAAACAATTTATTTTTCTTTGAAAGACATTTTGATGTAAAGATAACATCAATTAATAATCTAATATCTCATTGAATGCAAGTTTAACTAATTTTTTAACATAGTGGTTTAGTTAGAAATTATAGTATAAATAGTTTTTAATTTAAATGTATATTAATTTGTTCAATGTTTTCAAAATTTAATAAAATACGGAAAAATATTATTATTATATAATTAATAAATAATACTACTAATAATTTTCATCTGTATCAGGCATTGATTATTAATCATTGACACAGTAAAATTAAAATAATAAGTCCCTTAAATAAAGATTCAGTAAACAAAAAAATGAAAAGTTTCAATGAAGTATCAATAAAACTTTATTTCTTCTAAATTATGATATTAGAAGTTCTTTTGAATGAGCCCAATATAAATTTTTCAAATATCCTCTATAAATTCATCAATTTTGACAATATTTAACTTAATTCATTACTAGACACTTATAATAAAAGAAGTAACAATCCAGATAACAAAATTTTATTATTGCACATAATATTCTTTTTCAGTTTTAAAGTTATATATTTTGTTTATTAATAGATGAAGATCGTAGTGCTGTGTTCGGTTCTATAATTGATGGTATTTTTGAAGGAAAAATTATATCTCCTAAGAAAGGAATTTATTTCATTGAAAAATCTAGAAAATATATGCATCCTCATGGTTTGCTTCAAAATGACACAGATTTTCATTCAATTATTTATAAGGATAATGATGTTGAAAATCCCTATCATAATTCTACTAGTAATTATTGAATATTTTGATAAAGAATAAATTCTTATTAAATACAACTTTTTTAGGTCACTTCAGTGGTTGTGGTGTAACTGGATCTATTAAGCATAGTATGGAAAATATTCAATACTCCGGTGATATATGGAATGTAGATCAACAACAACATTTAAATGAAGAAAGGCCTGCTTATAAATACACTCGTCAAGCAGCATCTGAAAAACATCATGGGCCAGTTAGAATTAAAAGAGCAACTAAACCCAAAGAAGAAAGAAATACTTGTTCACTTTTCATACAAACGGATCCTCTTTTATGGAAACACATAAAAGAACAAGTAATTTTTTATTCTGTAAATTTTAAACATATTAAATGAATATTTTATATGTATTAGGTGGGTTATGATAAAACTAAAACAAGAGAAGAAATATTATCCCTTATAGCTCATCATGTTACTGCTGTTAATTATATTTATAGAGATACAAAATTTGATGGACGTATTGAACATAGAAATATTAAATTTGAAGTCCAACGAATTAAGGTAATTTTTTTCTTCATTATCATTATTATACAAACATCAATGTATTAAAAATATGTTACTGTGCAGTAGATTTTTGTTTTGTTTAATAATATAGTTTTTGACAATATTTACTGAATATTGATATGTATATATGTTGACTATTATATAATATAAGTACTCTGATTGATGAAAAACTTGTACTTTATGTACTCTTACAAATTTGTCAAATATTTTTCACATAGAGTAACTATTATTTCAAAGTGTTCATATTATATTATTTAAAACTAAAAACTAGTTTTCTAACTATCAAGTAATTGGTACAAGATCAGAAAAATGTATTAACCATATATTTTTTTTAACTATTGGAAGATCTAATTTTTTTTTTTTTATATAGAATTGACTATTACAACAATAGAACTCTTAGAATAAAGAATTTTAACTTAAATTAATGTACCCTTAAATTTACATAGTTCAAAAAATAAATTCAACAAAAATAATTAGATAAAATTATTTAAAAAAAAAATTTTTTTTAGTAAGTAAATAAGTAAATAAATAAAATAGGTTGCTAAAAAAAAAAATTTATATTTTTAAGACAAATTTACTTAAAATATATATTTAAAATCTGTAATTTTTTGTCCTAATTTTGAGGAATATTCAGAAAATAAGAGTACTGCCACTCTCAAGTTCATAGAGATTTTAATTTTTTTTTTTTATAGGGTGATTTCACTTTGTGACAGCGTATGTTCCAAAGCACAATGAGCATAAACACAAGTTTTTAGAACAAAAATTAATTTTTTCGTGTCCATTTTTTATAAATTATGTGGGCACAAAATCTTGCCAAGAGCAAGGTGTAGGAGGTTATTCAATTTTTTTAAGCAGAAAAAAAAACACCGTTTAAAAGTTTGTTCATGAAAAAAATGAAAAAAAATGTTTATGGTGATATGTTATGAATCAAACTAACATTTTAAATGGTGTCGTTTATTTAAAAATGGCAGAACAAATATTCATAACAATCAAAAGAGTGAAAGGCCCTTAATTTTATCCGATAAAGTTTCCACAAATTTCAAGGACTCTAATAACTCTAATACAAAACAATATCAGAAATCTTAGGGTATTGAAAATTTACACAAGTTACACTAATTAAACTGATTCGCTAGCCCTTACTAAAGAAATTTTAGCCTTGCATCTCTCACCTTTCTGAAAAATTATATAAGTAGATAAAATTTGCATAGAACTTTAATAAATCATAAAGGATATTTTGTAGAAAAATAGCTGAAATTTTTTCCGATAAAAGAACTGTACATTTTACTCAATAAAATTTTTTAAAAATTAAAATAATCGAATATTCTTACTTTTTGAATACTTCATGCTAATAAAATGAAAAATGAGTAAAAATGTGTTTTATAAAAATGTTATTTTACTTGCTGTAGAATCTGATTGAATTTATATATATTTCTAACACATGTTTATAATATTGTATAGAAAATATTCTGTTTTAAATTTAAGATTCTGAAAAGTTTTGATAATTTATCAAATTGATTTAATTTCTATAATTTCTTTAATAAAAATTTTTAGATTGATGATGATGAGCCTTGTGATCATAAATGGTCAGGTGAACAAAACCCATTCTGTATGGAAAATATTGATGTTAGCAACTTTTTAAATTTGCACTCTTTGGGAAATCATGAAGATTTTTGTTTAGCATATGTGTTTACATACAGAGATTTTACAGGAGGAACGTTGGGCTTAGCTTGGGTTGCAAGCGCATCTGGTAAATATTACAAGGAATAATTAATATTATCAATACATATTTTATTCAACTAACTTGAAGTTTAAAATATCTATGATTTTTAACTAGGAGCATCTGGTGGAATATGTGAAAAGTACAAGACTTATACAGAAACTATTGGAGGCTTATATCAATCTACTAAACGAAGTCTTAATACTGGAATTATAACATTTGTCAATTATAATAGTAGAGTTCCTCCTAAAGTTTCCCAATTAACTTTGGCTCATGAAATTGGACATAATTTTGGATCACCTGTATGTTTATAAAATTAAACGCTTAAACTGTTTATGTTATTAATACTATCATTAATTCCAGCATGATTACCCATCTGAATGTCGTCCTGGTGGTTTAAGTGGAAATTACATTATGTTTGCATCAGCTACAAGTGGTGATCGTCCAAACAATAGTAAATTCTCAACATGTAGTATTGCTAATATCAGTAGTGTATTAGATGCGATACAAGATAACAAGAAAAGGAATTGTTTTAAAGGTAATTTAATTAAAAATGCTTCATATTATTAATGGTTATTTATTAAGTTTTTTATAATATTAGCTAGTGAAGGAGCATTTTGTGGTAACAAAATTGTTGAAGATGGCGAGGAATGTGATTGTGGATATGATAATGAAGAATGCGATGACAAATGTTGTTACCCCAGACAAGTATCAGATCGAGATAGATTCCGTAATATTTCTGCTAAAGGATGTGCTAGAAGAGCTCAGACAGAATGCAGGTATTAACATTTATTTAAAAACTATTTATTTGAATCCCTTATAAAACATATTATTTAAATAATTTTTTTTTTAATTCAATTCAATTTTAGTCCTTCGCAAGGTCCTTGTTGTTATGCTGATACATGTCGTTTTATACCATCTAGTCGATCAGTAAATTGTCGCGGAGAAAGTGATTGTAGTTGGGATTCATTTTGTGATGGGACTTCACCAGAATGTCCAGTACCACCACCAAAACCCAATAAAACTCGTTGCAATGAAGGAACTCAGGTTAATAACTACTTTTTTTGATATTAGTTCCATTATTAATTTTACTGTTTATATTTGTGTAATAGCTTTGTATAAATGGTGAATGTACTGGATCCATTTGTCTAGAATGGGGACTTAATGAATGTTTTCTGACATCACAAATCATACCTAATATTGATAAGCGTAAGTTATGCGAACTAGCTTGTATGAATGGTACAGATTCTCAGACTTGTAGGTCAACCAGTGAATTTGCTGCTGCAGTAAATTTACCACCTGGTGGCATTAGTTTAAGACCAGGATCACCTTGTGATAATTTTCAGGTACTTATTATTATTGTTTTATTAATTTATTAATGAAAACCAAATAAAACTATGTTCTCTAGGGTTATTGTGATGTGTTTTACAAATGTCGTGCAGTAGATGCAGAAGGACCATTAGCACGATTGAAAAATATGTTACTTAACAAACAAACTCTACAAACTCTTCAACAATGGGCATTGGTGACTAAACACATTATTTGAAATAAAATTTGTACAAATTAAAATATATAGCATTCTTTCCTTTGTATTACAGGAAAATTGGTGGGCATGCATGCTAATGGGACTTTTATTTGTAATCATAATGGGGATATTTATAAAATGTTGTGCAGTACACACACCTTCTTCAAATCCAAAGAAACCTCCTGCTAGAAGATTCAGTGAAACACTCCGGCGACCTATTACAACACTAAGAAGAATGGTTTGTACTTAATTATTAATATGGTAGAATTCAAGAATAATTATTTATTTTTTTATCTAGCGCCATCAACCACATATATCACAACATAGATCTAGCAGAGTGCCAGCTCATGGTTATGGGGAAGGTAGAGGTCATTATTATGCACCAAGAGGTAATTTTTAATACACTCATTAATTAATTAAATTATCACTATGTTCAAAATAATTTATTTTTAGTAACATGAACATTTTTAAATGTTTATAGAAATTAAAGTTTTAGTTATTTAATAATTTAAAATAATAATAATAGAATTAATAAAATGTCTATATTTTTTACTATTGTGGGTTATATCTTACAACACACAATTATTTAAATGGCGGTAGACTTTTATTAAACAAAATTATAACACTAAAATAGACGTATAAACACTAAAAGAAAATATATGTATATACAGTAAGGAAAAATAAAATAATCGAAGTAAACATAATACACGATGACAACAGCGGCGGGGTGTAGCGGTCGTGTAGCGTATCGCGGACTAGACAGTCTGAACTGAACTAACTGAACTGACTGATTCTTCCGATATATATATAGCTCCGATAAGGCTCTCGCTAATTCTAGAATATTCTATACCCGCGTAGGTTATCTTATGGCGTTATCGAAGTTTCTCGAAGGTTTTTGATAACGAGAACATTCGAGAATATTCGTTGCGTATGTTTTGGTCGCTACATCACTCCCCTACCAGTGACGGAGTCAAGCGGAGCCTACTTGAAGACGGTCTGGAAAATGGACTCTTCTTCCGGAACGTGTCCTTTGATCCTCCCTGGGAATGGTAATGGGTGTATGTGTCTGGATCTTTTTCGGAATATTTTCCTTAGAGTATTCATCTGCCATGATGTATGCTGGTTTAAGTCTATCTATAGTAACTGTAACTTTCTTCTTATTAATATCAATAACAAAAGTTTTTTCGTTCCTACTTATGACTCGATAGGGACCATCATAGGGCATTTGAATTCCGTTTTTGGGCCCATCATGTCGAATGAATACGTACTCTGTGGTTGCTAGATCCTTGAAAACGAAATTTTTCTTCTCGCCATGTCGTGTACCATTGACTGGTCGGATCTGCTGAATGTGATGTCGAAGGTCTTTGATAAACTCAGCTGCGTCGTCGCACTTGGCGGTATTATTATTTGACGTGAGGAATTCACCAGGGAGTCTAAGTGGCTCTCCATAGACTAATTCTGCCGAGGTGGATTTAAGATCGTCACGCCAAGCTGCTCGGATACCCAATAAGACTGTCGGAAGAGTTTCTGTCCATCGATTATTCTGATGACATTTAATAGCGGCTTTAAGCTGCCGATGGGATCGTTCCACCATGCCATTTGCTGAAGGATGATAGGCCGTAGTTCTAAGATGGTTCGTACCAGTCAGGTAATTAAGTTGCTTGAAAAGGCATGACTCGAATTGTCTTCCTTGATCTGTTGTGATACGAAGAGGGGTACCAAATCTTGCAATCCAATGTGTATAGAAGGCTCGTGCTACAGTTTCCGCTTCTTGATTTTCCAATGGAACTACTTCAGGCCATCGAGTAAATCTATCGATGCACGTGAGGCAGTAACGAAATCCTTCGGAATAAGGCATAATTATTAAATCTAAATGAACATGCTCAAATCTTCGAGACGGTAGAGAAAATGACCCAAGGGGTGCTGTGACATGTCGCGTGATTTTGGCTCGTTGACATTCGACACATGCCCGTGCCCAATGTCTGCAATCTGCGTCAATTCCTGGCCACACAAACCGCTGTTTTACAAGCTTCACTGTGGCTTTAACTCCTGGATGTGCAAGGCGATGTATGGTATTGAAAACTGTTCGTCGAAAAGGCTTTGTAACAAAAGGTCTGGCGATTGAAGTTGATGTGTCGCAGAACACTAAGACATTCGTGCCTGGTAATTCCACTTGCTTAAGTCGCAATCCGGTGTTTTCTTGTGCATACTTTTTCAATTCGTCGTCTCCCTGTTGTGACATTGCTAAAGCAGTGTAGTCTAACGTGTCTGATAATGCGTCCACGCGTGATAGGGTATCAGCCACGATATTCTGTTTACCAGGAACGTACCTAATATCCGTGGTGAATTGTGAAATAAAGTCCAAGTGTCTGAATTGTCGTGGTGTGCACTTATCCGATTTCTGTTGAAATGCGAAAGTGATAGGTTTGTGATCGGTGTATATAACAAACTCGCGTCCTTCCACCATATGCCGAAAATGTTTGACAGCGAGATAGATCGCAAGAAGTTCTCGATCGTAAGCTCCGTATTTTGTCTCAGTCGCCGTGAGTTTCTTGGAAAAGAAGGCGAGGGGTTGCCACTCGTCATTGATGAACTGTTGGAGAGTTGCGCCAACCGCTGTGTTTGAAGCGTCGCTTACAATAGCCAGTCGAGCGTTGTCACATGGGTGCGCGAGAAGCGTGGCTGTGGCGAGTTCCTCCTTGCATTTCTCGAACGCTGAAATTGCTTCTGGTGTCCAATTAATAGGTGCTTTACCTTTTAGATTAGGTACTAAGAGATCACTTAGTGGTGATTGTGCATCTGAAGCTCTAGGTATAAAACGACGATAGAAGTTTAACATACCTAAGAACTGTCGTAGACCCTTAGCTGACGTTGGCCTCTTGTAGCTCAATATGTCAGCGACTCTATCAGGTAGAGGACGTGTTCCTTCTTTAGAAATCATGTAGCCCAAAAACTTTACTTCTGGTTGTCCAAAAACGCATTTTTTAGGATTGAGAACCAGAGAGTATTCGCGTAGTCGCTCAAAAATGATCTGTAAATGTTTGATGTGTTCTTCTTCAGAAACAGATGCCACGAGTATGTCGTCAATGTAACTGAAACAAAAATCAAGTCCACGGAGTACTTCGTCAATAAATCGTTGGAACGATTGTGCTGCGTTTCGAAGTCCAAAAGACATAAAGAGGAATTCGTAAAGTCCAAATGGTGTCACAATTGCAGTTTTAGGGACGTCTTCTTCAGCTACAGGGATTTGATTATACGCTCGAACCAAGTCGATAGTTGAAAAAATCGTTTTACCGTGGAGAAAGTGCGCGAAGTCCTGTATATGACGAACAGGGTACCGATCTGGGATAGTCCGGGCATTTAGAGCGCGGTAATCCCCACAAGGACGCCATGCATCTGTTTTGTTCTTTGGTACTAGATGTAATGGTGATGACCAAGGTCCTTGGGATGGTCGGATAATGCCTAGTTGGATCATAGCTTCAAACTCTTTTTTTGCTGCCTTAAGCTTATCAGGTGCTAAGCGTCGTGGTTTACAAGATACCGGGGGTCCTTGTGTCGTCGGGATAAAGTGTTTAGTGCTGTGTTTGATATCCTTCAGGGTCCCAAACGGTCGAGTGATCTCTGGAAATTCCCGTAGTAAACCGTCGTATTTCGTCTCTCCCACGACGACCTTAATAGATGGTATTGAGCACTTGACGGCGTGACCACGAGTGGTGAGTTGTGTAAGTCCGTCTAATAGACATTGATTGCGCACGTCTACCAAAAGATTGTAAAAACTTAAAAAGTCAACACCAATGATGGGCTTGGATACTTCCGCAATCACAAATCTCCAAGTGAAATCTCGACGAAGTCCGAAGTTTAGGCTGAGCGTGATAGTGCCGTAGGTGTTTATAGGCGTGCCATTGGCGGCTGATAGGACGTAATCGGTTTTTACGCGGTGGCCTGGAACAGCACTACGTGGATAAACACACAAGTCGGCGCCCGTATCGATGAGAAATTGAGTTTGGGAAGTTCGGTCTGTGATGAAAAGACGGCGTGGAAACTGACCGGGCTCACTGGCCGTCATCAGTGATGACCCGTCCCGTTTCCCGATTTATAGTTACAAGGTTCCTTGCATTTTTTCGATTGGGATCCATAACGCCAATGATACCAGCATATTCCGTCTGCGCCATGATGAGTGCGGCTTCGAGATCGTGACCTTGGACGGTAAGTATTTGGTCTTGAGTCCGGAGTACGCGAGGGGCGAGTATTTAACGCAGCCACTTCACTTCTCAACGCTGCAATCTCCTGATTAATATTTAGACTAAGTTGAGAAATCTTAAGATTCAACATGGCTTCAAAAGTGTCACTTCTCGACATTTCTGCTATTTGTGGTAGTAAAGGACCCGATGCGTCTGCGATGTTGTCCGCATGGACAGCGAGATCTTCAAGCTTACTATCTTTCACTATTGCCAACGCTACCTGTATACTTTTCGGTAAACGGCCCATCCAAAGTGTCTTCAATAACGTTTCCGGAACAGAAGAGTCGGCCAGACTTTGGAGATGGCGTAAAAATTGTGATGGTTTACGGTCTCCAATCTCAACGCGTTCTAAAAGTTGGCGTGTTTTCTCCTCTTGGGAGGCACTAAGACGTCTTATCAACTCTTGTTTAATTTTGGCGTACTTACTGTCTGAGGGCGGCGTCATAATTATGTCCTTGACTTCCACTGCGTATTTTGGCGGTAATGCTCCAACTACATACCCGAATTTTGTACTGTCAACAGTGACTCCCGCGCTGGCGAAACTTCCTTCGACCATAGCAAACCAAAGTTCGGGATCTGACGAAATGAAATCCGGTATCTTGACGGCTACTCGAGCAATTGTTTCGTCTGTCTGCGCCATCACGTCGAGGTCACCAATTTGTGGGTTATATCTTACAACACACAATTATTTAAATGGCGGTAGACTTTTATTAAACAAAATTATAACACTAAAATAGACGTATAAACACTAAAAGAAAATATATGTATATACAGTAAGGAAAAATAAAATAATCGAAGTAAACATAATACACGATGACAACAGCGGCGGGGTGTAGCGGTCGTGTAGCGTATCGCGGACTAGACAGTCTGAACTGAACTAACTGAACTGACTGATTCTTCCGATATATATATAGCTCCGATAAGGCTCTCGCTAATTCTAGAATATTCTATACCCGCGTAGGTTATCTTATGGCGTTATCGAAGTTTCTCGAAGGTTTTTGATAACGAGAACATTCGAGAATATTCGTTGCGTATGTTTTGGTCGCTACACTATTAGTGTAATAATGATATTTAGCTTCATAAAATGTTTTTAGCTTCTGCTCCTCCAGTACATGGACATTCAGATCGCCGCAATGCATTTCCAATGAGGCATCAGCCACAACATAAAGTGTGATAGTAAGTAAATGTATTATTTTATTGTACTTATAATTAATGGGAAAAACAATTTTGTAATCACAGTTATAATTTATTTTTTAGATGTCATCAATTTGACAACCCTAAACCATAGTTGATGTAAGACCATATAAATTGGGTACTAATATCATTATGGTCAAACCTATTAAATTAATTTATGTATTCATTATATTGTACATAGCCGTATTAAGCCAAAGTGATTAAATACTTTTTAAATTGCATCTAAATGTGCTGATAAATTAACAAAGGCAGACCATCTACAATATTTATTTTTTATTTTTCCATTCCACTAGTTAACATTTTATCATAAGTTCACTCGGTACAAAGTTATTTATTATTTTTCTATGTATAAAATTTACTTGTACTAAAAAATGATATTCTGTTTTATTTCTATGTTATATTATTGTAATCAGAGTCATTAATAAATATTATTTTATAATTAACATTTCTCATTTGAACATATTAAAACTGAGGATTGATAAAATTTTCTTTTTCACAATCAATTATTTTTGTTTTATACTTCTTATGTTCCTGAATAGTATTTACTGACTTAAATTTAAAATTTTGGTTGTGGTTGTAAACTATAAATATTTAACTGAATGTCTACTTATGATGTGTCAAATATTTGTAATAATGATCTGCCTTTGCTTAATAAAACAATTTTTATTGTTCTAAATGTTTTATTTGTTTAGAAATATAATATTATTGTACCATTTTCCTATTATTTATATAACAAATGAACAAATTTACCTACTTAAATTTATATATTCACAAATGTTTATTTATTTGCTATATTATTTTAGTCAAATTATTTTTTTTCAATTCATTTTTTCTATGTATGTATAGTTTTTAAATACAAATTTAAAATTATTATTTTTAAGATATCTAAAAATGAATTCACATATATTTGTATATAATGTAAAAAAAAAAAAAAAAAAAAAAGCTATTTCTTATTATAACATATGTAATTGTTGCATAAGTAATTTTTTGGAAAAAATTAACAAATGTCAGATTAAATATATCTTTCTAAATGGATATTCCAAATCTCCACTGTCATAAAAAAAGTACCTTTTTTATAATGTTACAAACTTATAAATAAATATATGTTCAATTTTTTATTATAATTTTGACCAAATTTTAAAATTGTTAATTTCCCACCATCACTTTTTTAAATATAACATGTGTATTTTAGATAAAATAAATTTCAAGTAATACATATTTTCTGGGGAAACAAACTGTTTTAAAAATTTTTGTTAATTAATACAGTTAACTAAAAAAGTTATACAAAACATACTGGTCCTATGTGAATGCTAAAACTCTGTCCTAATTTATTAAAATCTCTGAGGATAATATCAGCTAATGGTAATCTGACTGGACGATCGGTTGTGTATGAAATTGTGGTTTTACCCCATTGATCATTCCTTATCTAAAAAGTTTTAATTGAGATTTTTTTTAATGCATTTGATTACTTTAAATTTTAATAAAATTCACCAACCTTACATTGATCCTCCATTGCTGTGTACCTTAATTTTTGATTACCTCTTGGCATAATTTCTGCATCATTCCATCCAATCAACTTTAATCCTTTCTTGTATGTTTTAGTTTCATTATCGAAATACCCAACAGAGTTTTTACAATGATATGTAATATTTTGAGTAGCTGATACAGACAAAATTTGTAGAAATCCTATTTGATTACCATCTGCTTTGTATGATATCTGCAGTAAATAATATATTTTTTTAAGATTTTAAAAATATTTCTTTTTATTAGTTTGTACTTTCATGTTTTCAAGTTCGGATAGCCAAATTTCAGAATCAAACTCTTTAATTTTAAAGTCTATTGGTCCTACGTGATCAGGTTGAGGTACTATGCATGTGCTTTTTGTTATCATATCACATTTTACTAAAACAGCATCACGAGTGTCACCTTCATTTGGATCTATCCAGTATTCTCCTAAAAAAAATCTTTATTTCAGGAATGTTTAAAACATTGATTCTATATTTAGAGAAAGCATATCTTTATCTTTTAAAAAAGTTCTTATACATCTTACAAATCGAAATTCATTAAAAAAATTTTTTATTATATTTTAAACTTCGATGTGAAGATGAGAAGGTACTAATATTACTAAAATTTGTTTTTTTTATGTGTATGTGTCTATGCACACAAATTCTCAGCACTTACTAGACTGATAGTGCTTATCGATACCTCAAAAGATCACAAATTGTATCTAGATGAACTTGACATCTCCAAAATCTGAAAAAAATTTCCTCGTTCCCCATAAATAGGGAATATCAACAATTGCATTTTTGGAATCTACATTTCCAAATTTTTAAGTTTTTTAAATTAAAATTACCATTTTTACACTTTTTTTTTTAAATAAATGAATAGAAGTAATTTATTTATAAATATGTTTGACGTATTTCTTTCCTTTCATTAAAAATCTGACCTTTAACTTGCTTATCGGTGGGATTTAAAATATTTACTATTGCATGAAAAATTAATGTTTTCATCTTAATCTTTAAATATTATTCAGAAATACTACGAGCTCCAAACAAATGTTAAATTAAAACTATGTAATATACTACAACTTAAAAAAAAAAAAAAATACTCCGACAAGTAATAAAGTTGAGAAGGAGTTAGTTTTGTGATGGTGTACATTTTTTTATATCTGTTTATAATACATCAGAAGAATCTGATTTTAATCTAGTTGAAACCATAGTCGCCGATAATTAGAAAAATTCTCTCAATTTTAAAAATTTAAAAGAATAACTCATTAAATAAATTATTTTCTGAAAAATTGAACTCTTCTAGTAGTTGCACCAAGCCCTTTAATTTTGTAGCACGTTTGCGAAAGAGGTAACGAAATATACAGCTATTTAATCATTTTTTTATAATTTCTACGTAAAAGTTACAATATTAATTTATTGAATATCAATTTCATACTAAAACTAATTACTATAATAAATATTTATTCTTGTATTATACTTATAAATCATAAACTAGTAATTAAATTATAATAAAAAAAAGAGGAGTGAAGTTGCTTTTGGAATAATTTAATAATTTTATCACAAAATTAAAACCTATAGATTTTTATATAAGAGTTTTTTACGATGTCGATTTTAATTATTGTCAGATATCATCTATACTTGTCCCAACTGTGCCACAACTTCACTACTGCTAAACTGCTTGGTTTTTTTTTTATTAGCTAATGGTCGAAATGCTAGAGCTATTTTAATAAATTTTAGTTTTAATTTTACTCTGCGCTGTTTATATGATATCTATATCTATTATAATAGTAAAACATATTGAGTGAAAATTAAATATACTTACCGCTCTCAAGTTCTGGATAAGCAGCAAAGAGATCTTTACATGTTTTGGCTGGATAGTCTTTTTCACCAGTCGGCTTTTTGAATTTTTCAAATGAAGTTTTCAATTTTTTATAAGTACTTAAGATTAATTTACGTCTTTCACTTTCAGTCATTTCACCAGGTTGATCCTGATTTGGAGAATCGTTAGGTCCCTAAATTTAATTTTTAAATTATTTGAAGTTCACTACAGTTTATCAACGTTTTACTTTATTATGACCCTGTGTTAAAAGAGCTGTTAAAGCAGCCATATCATAAGCTAAAGCTTCACCTGGTGGCCCAGGAGGTCCCGGTAATCCAGGTGATCCTGGAGCTCCGTCGTTACCACGTTCACCTGGTAATCCTGTCAAAAAAAAAAAATTAACATAATAAAACAAATTGAATTAATAGTATGATGAATACTTACCTCTTTGGCCATGTGTCCCAGGTGTACCAGGTAGTCCTGGATTTCCATCTTCTCCTGAGCTTCCTAAATTAATTTAATGATTTAAATATTGCTTCCATAATTTTCTTTTTATATTTTAAATCGGGGCTAAAAATCGAAATCTGAAGAACTGTTACTTTAATCGTAACTGAAATTCAGCATGATTTTTTTTTCCAAAATTTGAGTATTTGTATATTTACTTAATTTTACTATTCTGAAATGTATTACTATTTTTTGTTCAATGTTTAGTTATCATTTATGTTAGAGCAAATAATTAAAACACGAAACTTATTGAATAGTTTATAAAAAATACTACCTATTAATGTGTTATTTTAAAAAAAAGACCATGTTATGTTTCTTTCATTACCATGGCTCATTACTTCTAGTATTTATATCTTCTAATATATCCATCTAAGTATTTTTTCTCATCTTACCCACGATTGATGCTACACCCATACTCCCCCTTAATTGTTGTTCATTCCTTTCCTATTTTCTTTAGTCATACTATGCGTCCATCTAAGTATTCCATCTCTGCTACACTCATTCTCTGCTTTACTTTTTTGTCAACCACCAAACACTCTGAATCATACATCATAGCTAGTCTTATAGAATTTACCTTTCAGCCTCATTGGAATTTTTTTTATCGCATAACACACCAGACGCTTGTCTCCACTTCAACCACCCGCACTTATTCCTGTATTTTACATCCTCGTCAATACCACTGTTCATCTGCACCACTGATCCTAAATACTTAAAACATTCCACCTCTCCTATCACTAACTCTCTTATTGTCATTGATCTCTTCATTTCACCTACCTCGTGTTTTCCTTTGTCAAACTCGTACTCTATATACTCTGTCTTACTATTACATATTCTTAAATTTTTTTCTTCAAGAGCTGATCTCCACACTTCTAGCCTTTGATTAATTTCCTCCTATTTTAAAATTTACGCCGGCTGTCGACCTGACGCAACCTCATTAGTCGCCTCTAACGACTAGCATAGGGGCTATGGAAGTATTCTTATCTTCTTCTACAGGGAATATGATTATAAGATTCTGTCGTTCTATTAAGTATATGTTCAAATTAAAATTTTGTAAAAAAGTATGAGAAGTCCTGAACAAAACTTAAGCAGATTGTCCTATCTCGGATTCACGCGTGGACAATAGGTGAGAGAAAATAAAGTAATTAGAAACGGAGAAGGCCTCAAGAATAAAGTGTTTGATACTAGCCGGTCAACTTGTGCGGTAGCTGTTGCAACAATTAAGTGTACAGGCCTACCACACGTTTGTAGTGTCAACGGTGTAATATCATAATCACTCAATTCTAGTCTGTACTCGTGTATAGATGAGAAAGATAATTACAAAATAAGAATAGGTACGTGGAGTGTTGGAACATTAACTGATGCAAGTAGATAATTAATTAGAAATATTTAAAAGAAAAAAAGTTATTATTTATTGTGTGCAAGTAACTAAAAGAAAGCAAGGAAAATAGGTGAGGGTTAAAAAATAATAAACTCGGGTAAGACCAATACAATGAATATAAGGACAGCTGATGTGTGTGTAGATAATGTGGGTGATCGTGTCAAGTGAATGTTTAGGATACGTGTGGCCAACTCTAAGTAGTAGGGATAAAGGCGAGAATATATAAGAAGATTTTTTTTTTTACCTTTTGGTCCTTGTTCTCCTACAGATCCCTGAGGTCCTGGGTAACCTATATCACCTGTTAAAAAATATAGTTGTAAATTTTTATTTAAAAAAAGTGTTTTTTATTTAAACTAACCTTTTTCGCCAGCAGGGCCGGGAGATCCTGGTAATCCTTGAAGACCTGTTAGTCCTCGGTGGCCTATAATATTTATATTACTTACAATTATTTGTTAAAAAAATATTCAAAGAAGATTTTAAAAGTTTTAAGCTTCACCTTTTATTCCTTCTAGTCCTACATCACCACGATCTCCTTTAGGACCTTGCGTACCAGAAGGTCCTGGTTTACCTCGTTCGCCCTATTATTTTATAGACGTCCATTAAATTTTATACTATTATTCCAAAATTTATTACTTACAGGAGGACCTTCAACACCTTGAGGTCCAGGTTCACCTCGTAAACCTCGTTCACCTACATTACCAGTTGGACCTGGTAAGCCTTGTGGACCCTATTATACAGATAAACAAAAACGTATAAAGGCAAATAATAAAGTATTTTATTATTAGACGATCATCAAATTTGTTTAAAAAGCAATAATAATGGTTTATTTTTTTTATAAAATCTAACATACTAGCATTCCGGGTGGTCCTGGATTGCCTAAATTCCCTGGAGCTCCTGGGGGACCTGAAAAATATCACGTTTTTATAAAAAAAAATAAAAATAAACAAATAAATAATGTTAAATTGTCGAGTTAAGTATAAAAACTGGTACAATAACTAGATATTTTAACTAATTTTGAAAATTCACAGATTTACATAATTTTATTCAGCAAAAACTGATGTATACCAGAGCTTAAATATAAAAAAAAATAGTTTTTTTTCTATTATAACGTTATTTTATTTTTCTATAAATTAAACTTAATCAAAACTTTCTGTTTTTAAAAAAGTTTACATGGCTTTGATTTAAAAAATGAATAAAAAGATATTCTCATATATTAACTACACTTAATTTTTAAGTAATTATTGTAGGGTGGAATCCTAATTAACCACAAATAACCATTTTTTTGTTTTAGAATTACAATAGACTAAGAGAATGATATGAATAACGTTTAAAACATACAATTTTGTCCAAATGTAATAAAAAAACAATTAACTAAAAATATGTGATATTAATAAACATAAAATACCGTTAAGCATAATACAAAATATAACGTAAAACAATTCTTATTAAAACAAACATAAATTATTTTCAAACGTTGTGTTTAAAAATATTCTAAATAAGAAAAAAGTAGTAATTTTCTCTTATTAAAAACCGTTTGTGGTAGTGAATAATGATTCAAATCCTTAAATGTTAAACGTAATAATTTATACAATTTTACGCCATAACGTAGTAACATTAAAACGTTAAACGAAAAAGAAATTAAATAAACTCATACACAGTTATACTGTACATACCTACACCGACTGTAAAATGTTATCACTTGTATTTATTAGCATATATGATGCTGTCATTTTTACACGTATTTCACATATTATAAATTTACAAGATCGCCAAAACAGCATAACCTTCATTGAAACACAAAATAACCAGTTAACTAGAGGATAAAATTTGATAATTGTATAGATTTAAAGTGACGCTTATGCGCAGAGCCTCAATTAAGTTCAGCCAATTATATTTAACAATTAACTAAGATCGACAGTTTCCAAAATCACGCTACATTACCCTCTTCTGACTATATGAACCCATTTTTTCTATTAAATCCAGTTCTTGCGGTAATTTCAAAATACATAAAATCTGTGATAGTGAGAATTTTAAGTAAAGTTTTTATTCTCTGGAACTTTGTATTTTTATTTAATTTGAACTATAATTGAACTTTAATTTGAATATTTTTCAAATTAAATGAAACTTAAAATAAATTTAAAGTGAATTTTGTTATGGTGAATCTATTTTTTTTAATTTTATTTGTTCATTAAATAATTATGTTTTATTATTCTTATCATGAAAATAAATGTCCATTAAAATCTTAAACAACAATTTTTTTTTAAATAATTTTATTTTTATAATAGACTTAACCCAACTTTATTATTTTAATGTTAAATATATATGAGCTTTTCTTAATTGGTAGCTATTCTCGTTGTTCTAACGAATATCGCAACGGCAGACAGCATAGAAAAACTTATTAAGATTTTTTTTTTTAATATTTAATTTTCATCTCAATGATTATTGTGCCGCAAGGCATGAGCGCCGGGACATTTTGGGTCATCACAATACCACTTTGATAACATTTTTTCATAAATATAAATATTTTTGAATCTTGTTTTGACCACGCCAAAGGAAGCTTCAAAAAATATTGATGTTGACCACTCAATAAAAGATATTTATTTAACAAAAATAAAATGCGGGTACATTATAAAAAACATATCTCTAATAAAAATATCAAGTGTTTAGAATATTTTACATACAACAATTAGTCATAGATTTTGTTTAACAAGATCGTATTATTTAAAATTAAATCATTTTTCTAAATAGCTATATTGATTATACAACACGTTATGTGAAAAATAGGTGCAGTGCATTTAATACACGGAATCAACGTTGGATTGTTTAAAATATCGTTATGTGACTTAAAATATAAGGTAAGTGAAAATTTAATTTATGCTTTCAAACCAAAAAAAAACACATCATAGTAAAATTTACACCTTCTCAGCTTCTCATCGAACTTAAAAAATGTATTCCATATAAATAATTCAGATAAATTTTAAAATTTTGTGACGATATTTAACTTTATGCATTTAATATTGTTTAACTCCCGAGATCAATCTACTATTTTGTCATTAACATATATGTTTATTTTATTTATTTAACTATTACCCTTATATGTTCAGTCACTGTTTACTATCATTCTAAATCCTTTTTTTATTTATATTTTATTACTATTATTTCAACACTTTTCTAGCCTTTCACATTTCCCTTAAAATAAAATACAAGTAAATATAATTTATTCCTTAACCGCTTTCCTCTTTCTTTTTGATTTATTACACCACTTAATGTGAACTCCTATACAAACCAATGTCAGATATTCGGAGATGCATGCGGTGCATTGTACTCAGACCTAAAATGTTTAGGTTTTTAGAAGTCTTTATGTTTTTATAATATTTAAAAAAATACGAATGTGCTCTATTGTATGATTTCATTTTTTCTTTCAAAATTATCCTCATTTTAGTTTTAATATAAAGCGAAGGATGTATTAATTTTACTATGATATTGTTTTACGCGTGTCGCTTCGTATTGTAAACATCAGTTTTATAAAACATTCATTGGATAAAAAAAAAAAAAAATTGTTCAATAATTGAAAAAAAAATCTTAAATGAAAATAATTAGTTGCCATAGGACTTATACAAAAAAATTTTAAGGGACCTCGATTTTTAGTAAGAACCCCGGTCTCTTAAATGTAGATCCATCACCGACACAGATATATTAGTAATATCGGATTGATTTTAAATTTTGCAGGGATTATTTTGAAATTAGCTGGAATAAAATAATACATAGGAAAAATTAAAAAATTCGTCCAATTTCCCTCACTCTACTACAGACATCGATAATATGTGTTAATTTATACACATATAAATAATGTAAACTACTAGAAGAGTTAGTATTAACTGTTTTTTAATATAGTAAAAAATATAATGTTTATTTTGGAAAAATTATTTAACAATATTCGACTTTCAAAATGTTTTTTAAGGCGTTTGGGTACTGACCGTTTTGTAGACAAAAACAACCCGTCTATGTTCCATTTGTACGACGGAATTACTGATGAAATAAGAACTCTGAAAACAGATCTGAATTCAGTATCACGTTACTTTTTTGAAATTATGATTTTTTTACCCCTTAAGTACAGTTTACATTAAATGTAAACTGTACTTAAGGGGTAAAAAAATTTTTTGAAAGTTATAGTTTTTCAAAATTTTATATTTATACGTTAAAAGAATTACAATTAAAAAAAAGTGGCCTGATGATACTTAAGTGATACAATACTAAATTCAGATCTGTTTCCAGAATTCTTATTCCATCAGCAGTTTCGTTGTACTGATGGAATAAAATCAGTTTTGTGTGTTCTAAGTATGTTTATAACACAGTAGCTGTTAAATTTGATATACTCGTGCGCGTATGTGCGTTATCTGCAACAACTATTTTATTGACCATAGCTGCGAAGGGCATACCGACTACCTAATAATAGTTACAAATTAATACACACTTGATATTACACCTTTATTTTGATATTAGATTATTTGCTATTATCAAATGACCGACAAAGCTATCATTGCATAATACAGAACAAATTTTATTGTTGTTTGATAATATTTAAGTGTCGCTAAAGAAATGGGAAATCGTAAAATAATACCGCTATCAAAAAAAAAAAATAATAAAGAATAGGGGTGATGTATCAACATTGGAATAAGTGGCGCCAAAAAAAAATCTGGTGAAGGTACGTTTAAATTTTTATACAGATTCTTAGCTTCCATAGAAAACTAAGAAGATATTAGTTTTACTATGATTTGTTTTTTGTTTGTATCTGTTCATATCTATTTTTATCTATACCTACTGGACTATTATTGTTAAACAATACATCAAAAAATCAAAAAATTATATATTTCTTTTATGTATTCAACACTAAATTGTTATTAATTTCCCTTTAAATCTGACCCAATAACATGTTTTCTTCAGTCGCGCACTATGTTATCAACCTTTTTTGTAAAAAAAAAAATTAAGAATGGAGTAAAATATGGCTACTTTTAGAGAAGTTCTACATTAATTTTTCGATTACCAGAGATAATTGACTCTCATTTTGTCAAAGGACTTCCTATAAAAACAGACTTATAAGATATAAACATTATACCGTGTAATTATGCTGTGTAAATAATGTAATTTTGTAAATTGAATTTTTATAATTCATATTAAAGTTTTTTTATAATTTTACAACTTTGAAATAATCGATGTGAATGTCATAAGTATGGAAGTATTTGCGGTGGGGCTGGTGCTAAATTAAGGTTTTTATACTGCATAAAATAAACGTGCATCGTTATTAAATCAAAATCTTTGTATTGCATCAAAGGTAGATACACAAAAGCGGTTTATTTATCGACTATATTATGACGGAAATGCTTCCAATAATGAACTCTCACACTAATAATCATTTACTTCTTACACAACAACACTACGTAACACATAAAAACCGCGAAATTGCCTCTATGCAATCCCTGAAAACAGGTCTGTACTAAGACGCCTTAATGAAAGAGCTTAGAGACGTTATTCTGAGAAAATTGTTTGCGAAAATTAAAAATTTTTTTTTAGTAATCCGTGAGCGTTTAAAAATTTTATCAAAAACTCTCATTGCCGCCCTCGTTTTTCGATTTTAGAAACCTGAAATTTTTACTAAGTCCTCACAGATACATTCCAAAGGTACACTGAAAATTTCGTTGAAATCTGTTTTTATTAAGTCAATGTGCATAGTTGTTGTTTTGATACTATTTTGAGTATTCGCATTGCAATAACTGTGATACACACACATATTTATATAAAATAAACATATACAAAATTATTTTGTTTATTTAAAATGGCAGTGAGAAAATTGAATTATTATTATATTATTGTGAAGATCTTGGACTCAAATGTCAACCATATATTTATTATATATATATATATATTATTACATTTTATTCTTTTTAATTAAATGTTAACTATATTTTTTTTATACTGATTGTTAAATAATATTATTTGCGAAAAATCTTATCTGTGATCTAAACGTAAGGATGACCCAAAGGACCTTAGGTACGGGGTGGTACTCAATATTTTGCAGAAAAAAATATAATTATTTTTCTCCTTCATCGGAATAGTCTAGTAGAAGGATCATTTTTATAGGAGTTCACATGTAGTCAAATTTATTTGGTTATGAAATAAAAATTACCTTTGTCTCCTTGTCTTCCTGGAATTCCTGAAGATCCAGGCAAACCTGTCGCACCATCTTGGCCTTTTTCTCCTATTTACAAAATACTTCAATAATATACTTTCTTAGTATTATAAAATAGAAAAATTCTAAAAGAAATCAATTTAAAAAGGAGTCCCCTTTTTTAAAATAAATGTTTCTTAAATAATTTTTAAATATTTTATTAAATAACAAATTGTAGTTTTTTTTCACAATAAATTTTATTGATAAAATAAATTTAATCAGCAAAATTAATTATTTGTTATTTATTAACATTTTATAAATTAATAATGAGTAACTATTATATTATTACCTTGAGGTCCTGGTGAACCAGGAGGTCCTGCTAATCCTTGTAATCCCTACAGAAAAATTATAATTTGGAAAACAAAAACATTTTTATTACGAATCTATTATAAAATAGTTTATTTTTCTTAGTACCTGTAAGCCATCAGATCCTGATTTTCCTGGTGTACCTTTTTCACCCTACCACATAAAAAATAATTTAATAATTAGAATTATAAAGAGTAAACAATATTTAATTTTGTCATATTAAATTTTAAGAATAGCATTTGTTTTTTTTTTAATTTATAAAACTTACAGGGCTTCCTTGTGGACCTCTCATTCCTAAAGGACCTTGGCTTCCTGGGACTCCAGGCAAACCTCTGAAATTTAAATCAAATTTTGTTATTTAATCAGTAACTATTTTTTTATAATGAATACTTGGAATATTAATAACATTATTTAATGATATCAGAGACAAGGTGGTTTACAGACTCTGATATTTATTATTTTACTTTAAATAAATATTATGTTTTAAAATTCGCTATCACAAAAATTATTATAGTAATAATTTTTGTGATTACTTATCACGCTTAATTAGCTTAAAAAACAGCTTTTTATTATTCTTTTTATTTATATATTACATAAATTGAGATATTTATAATGAAATTAGTTATATATTTATACAGAGTGATTCATTAAGGATAAGACACTCATTTTCTCGGTAACTATAGAAAATTTTTAATTTTTGGTAAGGAAAATATTGTTTGATTCAAAGAACTTTACAATAATATGTAGTAAATACAGGATGAAAAAAATTATGATTCTACTACATATTATTGTAGGTTCCTTATAATGTTTTTTTATAAAGTTAATAGTTTCATGTCAATTTGAAAGAAACTGACAAAATTTATTGTTCAAGGAAATTTAATTTGTTTGTAATGTTTTTACTTTTAAGTCTTTTGAAAATACACCAAAATAGAAAATTGTTAAACAACCTAAAATTGTAAAAAAAGGACAACCCCCGTTATTTTCATTAATAAATAATGATATTTTATTTTAAAAGAGACTTGAAAATTATAAGTTCGATAATAAGTAAGTGGTTAAATTGACTGTCAAAAAATTTATTTACCATTTATGGTATTTAGGAGAGAAAAAAGTTTGTTTCTCGTGTTTGACAGGATTAATAATGAAGTAAAAGAACTAATGGCTAAAAGGTTACTAGACTATGTCGAACTTGAAGACGACAATATAAAAACACAAATACAAAAACGATGTCCATCAGTTTAAAAAAAAAAAAACTTACCACTTGAATTATTAAAAATTTCCCTCGTTCCTTGTAAATGGGTGAAATCACCAAAAAAATCACAATTTTAAAAACTAGTTATTTTCGACATTTTTTTCACTTTTTTAAATACAACAAATCAAAATATTTTTTTTAAATAAACACCTTAAGTCTTTCCATTTTATTTGATATCACTTTTTTGAAATTTTGAACGTTTACCTACCCACATGGGATATTCAAATAGCAAATTTTTTACAAAAGTCAACTTTTTCAGCTAAACTTTTGAAAATGTATCGGAAATACTGCGTCTATTAAATATATGTTAAATTAAAGCTTATATTAAGTACTATAAATTGAAAAAAAAATGTGTCCCGATGACTTATTTATACTTATTTTGATTATTTTACCTTCTCAAAGTTAAGAAAAGCTACTTTGAATTTTAGAACTATCTTAAATTGTCTTTTTTAACAAGAAATTCATATAATGTACGGTGGTTGCATCGAATATAAAACTGTTTTATACGCTCAACTCGAACTTTTTTAAATTAAATATCTCCAAATTAATAGGAGTATAAAATTTGTTTTTATACTGATTTACACAGAAAAATCATATCACAAAATTATTTTTATCCAGTTATTGATTTTTAATATGTTAAAAATAATCCGTGCAAAATTTCTATTCAAAATGTCATTTTGAATTAATTTTTTTGATCCTTTAAAGTTGATTTTTATGAAAGTATATAATTAAAAAATGTTGAATTTGTAAACTCTATTTTAAGCTCAATTTGAAAGTTTAGAATTTATATCATTAAATAGAACATTTTATGAGGAATAAAAAATTGTATTTTTTAGATTGATATGTGTTCAGGAACTTATGTAATTACTATTAACTTAATATTTATAAGGAAAACTCAAAATTTTGTTAAAATCACTTAGTATATTTTTTATATTTAATCGTGATAAATCATTCAATGGAAATATTAATTATTTCTGTGTAACTCTTGGCGCTTAAATAGATGATACAATTGAAATATTTAGAACTTTATTCCGTATAGTTATATCCTTATAGTATTTTATAATATACTAATATTCAAAAATATTCCATTCCAGTTTCACCTATGATTTTGTCAGTTGTTGTATTACTGAATTTCATTTTAACTTATATATTTTTATATGTTAATACTCGTTTTTAACTAATTATTAATAATACCAAAAATAGTGGTAATGAGAAAAATTTAATTGTAGATTTGAAAGACACGAGAAGGGGTTGACTTATTACAATCAAACTTTCTCAAAATTAATTTTTTAATACATAAAACAAAGTTTTGATTACTCGCTATCAAATGTTTAAAAACTAAATTGATCTCTATAAATAAGGACCACTCTAATATATATATATATATATATATATAATATAATATATAATATACATATTACCTTTCTCCTGGTGGTCCTTGAGGTCCTGCTGGGCCAACAGGTCCTGGTGTTCCATCACTACCGGTTTCTCCTTTTGGTCCTGTAAAATATAATGTTGTGCAATATTTATAGAGTTTAGAATTAAAATTACTCACCTTCAGGCCCACGTAAGCCTGGTGCTCCAATAGCACCTGATAATCCTTGTTTTCCAGGTTCTCCTACCCATCCTTTAGGTCCGATCAACCCTAAAAAATCATATTATATGGAATCTAGGGTATTCAGTAAGTAAGGAAACAGGAATCTATTGTTCTCGTTGTATCAGTTGATCTGTTTCCTTACTTTTTGAATATTCTGTATATCAATTCTTCAAGCAAAAAATATTTATTGTTTTTTTTCATTCATGAGAGCTGTTTATAATTTTTCTAAAGTTTTATCTTTCCTATTGGTATTCAATCATTGATCTTTCTATTTGTTTATAATTTAAATAAACATTTTAAAATATTACATTAAAGTAATTCAAAATATATAATATATGAATACCATCTCTCTATTTGTTAATAAAACTTAATAATTTACTTGCTTTCTTAAATAACATAAAAAAATGTACATAATTATATTATAATTGAAATTATTCATTACTATATTAAAATTATAAGATATTTCAATTGATATGAGTAGTGCATAACTAAAAACAATATTATTCCAATAATTCAGATTTTTATAAATACCTGGTGTTCCTGGTTGTCCTGTTGGTCCAGGATATCCCTTAAATTAACAGTAAAAATTAACCATCTTAAATTTTAATAAAATAATGGTTTTGAAATATTTAAAACACAAGAGAAGTAAATAGTTTTAAAAAATTAAAACTTAAAAGAGTCCATATTTTTAAGAGTATTAATACTTACTGGTGGACCTCGTTCCCCTATTCTCCCTGGAAGCCCAATTAAGCCCATATCTCCTTTGATACCTTGTTCTCCACGAATTCCTAGCATACAATTTTAACATATTAAAAATTATTTTTAAAATAAAAATTTGATGATGTTTCAATAAAATTACGAGCTTTATATATATATTTTTTTTTTAGTAAAATTTATAATATTGTTTTTTTTTTTTAATGAAAAATTACCTTTAGGCCCCATTTCACCAACGGGTCCAGGTACACCGGCTTCTCCTGGTTTACCAGGATGTCCAGGATTTCCTTGTTCTCCTTTCAAGCCTATATAAAATAAAAATAATATTTTAAACTGTCTAAAGTTATTTATAATTAACTTACCTGAGTCACCTCTATCTCCTTTTGAACCGGCAACACCTATTTTTATAAAAACAACAACATATTTATATTATAGTATTTTATATGTTTTTTAATATTATTTAATCATATTACATTACCAACTAATCCTGGTGCACCAGGAAAACCTTGAACTCCTTGTGGTCCAATCAATCCCCTATCGCCAGGGGCGCCTACAGAATAAAAATGGTTTTAAATGAAATCGTTTGACATAGAAGATAATAATGGAATTGGATCTTAAATTTTCTTTTAAATAATACTATTTTGGGAAGGGGAATTTTTTAGTTATTTAGATACTACTAAATTTTAAATTGTTACTGTCATGTAATTACTAAAATGATTACCTACAAATCTTTAATTAAAAAAAAAAAAAAAATTTTATAAATTGGTACAAACCTGGGGCACCTAGCTCCCCTGGAGGTCCCGGTGCTCCTGGTTCACCTCTTTCAGCGGGTTCACCTGGGGGACCTACTGGACCAATAAATCCTTGCAAGCCTCGTTCTCCGGGTACGCCTAAATTTCCATGAGTTTTAATAAAAATACAAACGTAAGTACATTATATAATCAAGAAGAAATACTAATAAAACAATAAGATATTAATAATTATATTTCAAACAATTTTATGTTACTTCAAGGATTCCACAAGGAGATTATTCATCTCCTTTATTGTATTTGATTTTAATAAATGATGTTACTAATAAATTAAAATATTCTATACTTATTGTTAGCAGAAGACTTGAAATTATTAAAAAAAAATCCCTAATCTTAATGATTGTCTTCTTCTTCAAAACGATTTAAACACATTTAAAGAATAGTGTATGATAATAGCAAATGTAAAACAGTATCTTTTATATTAAATAAAAATAATAACCACTATAATTACACAATAAATGATGATTTCATAACTAAATAAATGAAATTAATTATTTGGGTATAACCTTCGACTCTAAACAAACTTTTAAATTCCATGTGAATATTATTTCCAATAATACATTTTAGACTAGATTAGGTTCTAATAAACGTAAACATTTTCATGTAGATTGCTTTTTAAAATTTCTATATTTTATACAAGTGTGTACTAAATTTGATTATGATCATATAATATAGAGAAATAACAAAATAAACCAAAACAGCCACTATCATAAATTAAAAATAATTTTTTACGTTTTTTGTTCTTTTTTCAATTTAGAGTAAATAAAATTCCTCATTCTAGTAACAGAAATGTTCGTAGTTATTTATAGTTCTTCTTCTTCATCCTCGCCTTAATCCCAACTTGGGGTCGGCTACCCTTATCCTAAACTTCCACTTGATACGATCTCCAACATCATTTACGCTCACATCAGCTGTCCTCAAATCGCATTCAATAGCATCCCTCCATCTCTTTTTTGGTCCTCCTCTACTTCTTCTTCCTTCAACATTCATTACTATAACTGTTCTTACAGCTTCCGATTCTTCTCTCCTCATAACATGACCATCGAAGTCTATTTTCTCTCATCTTATCCACGATTGACGCTACACCTATACTCCCTCTTATATGCTCGTTCCTCATTCTATCTTTTCTAGTCACTCCACTTATCCATCTAAGCATTCTCATCTCTGCTACACTCATTCTCTACTCTACTTTCTTATCAACCGCCCAACACTCTGAACCATACATCATAGCTGGCCTTATTACAGTTTTATAGAATTTACCTTTCAGCCTCATTGGAATTCTTTTATCGCATAAGACGCCAGACGCTTCTTTCCACTTCAACCACCCGCACTTAATTCTGTGTCTTACATCCTTGTCAATACCAACACTCTTTTGCACAACTGACCCTAAATACTTAAAACTCTCAACCTCTCCAATCACGTCTTCGCCTATTGTCACTGACCTCCTCAATTCACCTACCTCGTGTTCTCCTTTGTCAAACTCGTAATCTATATACTCTGTCTTACTTCTACTTATTCTTATACCCTTTTCTTCAAGAACTGATCTCCACACCTCTAGCCTTTGATTAATTTCATCCCTATTTTCTCCTATTAACACTATATCGTCAGCAAACAACATTCACCACGGCACCTCTCCTTGTATTTCTCTAGTAATTTCATCCATCACTATAGAGAATAAGTAAGGGCTTAAAACAGAACCTTGGTGCACTCCAACTCTTACCCGAAAACCTTCTGATATTCCTCCTACGCTTTTTACCCTGGTACAAGTGCCATCATACATATCTTCTATTATATTAATGTACCTTTTCGGGACTCCTTTTCTCATTAATGCCCACTTTAAACTCTCTCTCGGTACTCTGTCATACGCTTTCTCCAAATCTATAAATACCATACACAGCTTTTTCTTCTTTTCCCTAAACTTTCCTATTAATTGCCTCACACAAAATACTGGCTCCATTGTTGACTTACCAGGCATAAATCCAAACTGGTTTATAGATACCGATGTCTCATTTCTTACACTCTTAACTATTACCTTTTACCAAATTTTCATAATATGACTCATAAGCTTTATGAGTGGTTATTTATAGTTATACCACTAAATAATAGATGTACATTATTATTCGATTATTTTAATTATAATTAAAATTTATCACAAATTATTAAATAACATTATATTGTTATAGATCGATTGTATAGACATAAAAAATATAAAATTATTTTACTTACCAAACATTTCAAAAAACTATATGTCCCTAACTCCCTTTTATATTTTAATGTATACTATTAGCTCCACAAATACTATAGAATTTTTGTTTATTCGTTCTTAATGACATTGTAAACTTGATCTAATTTTTTACATATACATTTTTGTTATTAATATACAATTAACAGTACAGGGGTAGTAATGTTCTAAAAAAACATATACTACAATTCCATTAAGTTTTGGTAATTCTAAAATATGTTTTCTATAATTCTAAGTGTTATAAAAAAAAATGTACTTTTAAGTTGGCTAATAACAATATTTTTTGTATTAAAATCTGTGGACCATAATTATATAAAATCTTTATAATTTGTTCATTATTATATCAACAGTTTATAATTTTAATATACTATGGTACACAATACCAGAGTATACTCTGATACCAATAAAGTTTTCAATGTTATTAAATAAATATATTTAAAAAAGATTACTCTGATTTTTTTTAATTAGAAAGGGAAAACTTTAATAAGATTATTTAGAAAATTCCTTAAAAAGTTACCTGGTGATCCAGAAGGACCTTGAGCACCCGTAGTACCTGAAAAAATATTTAAATATAAAAAAAATGTCTATATTTTATTTTAAATGAGATATAAACAATAGTTATTATCAGTGTCAGTGTTAAATATTGCGGAAACCTATATAAAAACATTTTTGCTGAGCCCTTTATATAATTTTTTTATTAAAAGAGACTTTTTTTTGTTTCTTATTTATGCATAGCCCTAGGCTCTAAAAAAGTATATTGGTGATCCTTATTATTATAATTGTTTTATGTAATAATAGACAAAATCTAAAATTCAATTTTTTTTAATTTTGTTTATACAGACAGGTTTAATCTAAATTCAATGTAATCTTTGCTAGACCTTATAAACTAACTATAAAATACACATTAGATCCTATACAACTTTACTCTGTTAAAAATTTCATTGAGTTTAGAAACATTTTTCAAAATACATTCTGTATATGTGGGTAGATATATACCTCTTTCTCCTTTAGATCCGGAAATTCCTTGATCACCTCTTATTCCTGGTAAACCCTACGTTAGCACAAAAAATAAGAATATTCTTATACATTTCCCTTTTATTTATATTTAAATTAAAAACATACCATTAATCCTGGCGATCCTGAATGGCCTTTATCTCCTTTTATCCCAGGTAATCCCTAAAATAAAGAATTTTCAATTAAAAATTTAGAATTATTAAATAATAATGAACTATTGAATCACAAACCGTTGGTCCATCTGGACCTGCAACCCCTGATTCGCCTTTGACACCTTGTAAGCCAGGATGACCACTTGGTCCACGATCTCCTGTTTATAAAAAAATCAAAAACCATTTTTATAATATATAAAATTTTATATTTTGGACCATAACTATTAATATAAGCATTGCATTACAACAAAAAACATCCTAACCTGGAAATCCTCGTTCACCACGAGCTCCTGGTTCTCCGGGTTTTCCAGAATGACCCTGTTGACCTATATATAAAATATTTATGTTTGAGATAATATTGATATATAAGATAATTATTCATACCTGGTTCTCCGTCTTTGCCTGGAGGGCCTGGATTACCCGGAACTCCTGGTACACCCTAAAAATACTTGATTGTCATATTAATTCGTTTACAATAGATGTATATTAATTAATATAAATTAAAACAAACTAGTAATCCCATTATTCCTGGAGGTCCGGTTGTTCCTCGTTCACCATCCAACCCAGGTTTGCCTACTAAACCTGTACAAAATATATTGATTAAAGGTTAAATCTATGATTATCATATAAATAAAAATTTAATTAAATAACCTAACCTGGACTTCCCGGGGGTCCTTCTTTCCCAGGATCACCTCTTGGACCTAAAATAAAACATAGTCAATACGTTTTAGTTTTCTTTTATTATTTATTTATATAATTAATAATTGATATATCTATAAATAATATAAACTTGACTTAGTGAAGTTTCGAAAGTATTAATAATTTCATCAAATATAATTCAATAGTTAAAGATATTATAAATGAATAGAATAAATTTTATTTTCATTCCTCATAAAATTAATTTTTCAACATTAATTAGTGTAATAAATAATTAAAATTATCATCTAAATAGTTATTTACGGGAGTGATAAAATAATTCCAAAGACGGCGAAAAAAATAGGCAATTTAACCATATAACTGAGTAAGATTTGGAAAGCCTACCTTCAGAAATTTAAACACGCAATGAAAATATTAAATTGTAATAGTAATCAGGATTATATTTTATAATTTTTAAATAGTGTAGATAATCTCTAGATTTTTTTATTATTTATTGATTTATTGGTAAATAATATGGTTCTTTTGTTAATTTATTGGCAATTATTAATTTGTTATTTTATTGAATAATTTTACATCAAATTACAATATTATATGAGTTATATGTTATTTTTCGGAAGGTATTATGTAATATTAACCATTTTTTATGATAACTATTGTTTGTTTTATGAACTCACCGGTAGGTCCGGGCGGTCCTATTTCACCAGCTGTCCCTTGTTCTCCCTAGTGAGTGTAAATTAAAAAATAAAATAATATTAAATAAAATTAATAAAGAATAGATAACTTACTGTAAGACCTTTATCGCCTGGTGGTCCAATTGGACCTGGTAATCCTTGTAATCCAGGTGTTCCGGGTTCACCAACCTACAGAAAAACTCAAATAAAAAAATTTCAACTTCTACTTTATATTTATATCTCATATAGTTATCAAATGAAAAAATATTGTTTTTTAAAAATTTTTTATTTATCAATATACCGAACCTAATTATACTTATCTAAATATTAAAAAGTATTGGTAAACATCTAAAAAGTTGTGTCTTATTTTATATAACAGTTTTTTAGGGAAAACATTATACAATAGTATGTTAAAGTTATTGTTTGGTGTAACTACATATTTAATATAACATAAATAATTAGAAAAATATTTGTAAGGGAGCTGAGATTTTATTTACCTAGAAGCCTCCAAAGGCTTATCCGGCACGGCGGCTATGGCAATACCGACTGTTGAACTATTACCAAGAATGTTGTGATTACTAACCATTCAGTATATTAAGTGTATTAAAACAACTAAATAAAATAATAAATATATTATTTGAATAAAAATTTGCACGACTGTATACTTTTGACTAACGAACTATCAAATATAACATACGGTGGTTTTTATTCGAATGAAAACTATCAAATATTTTATCCAGTAGTTCAATAATCTAAAACTATTAAGTCATGTATAATGACATTCGGTTGATTATTCGATAGTTTATTAAAGATTATCGATTATACGTCGTAGTTAAAACTATTCAATAGTGTTTATCATAAATAGATAGGTTTGACAAATGGCTGTTTTAATGAGCAGTTATTATAATGCGTTTTTCGGAGGGGGGGGAGGGGGTAGCTAAAATGCTAGACCTATCTATCGCCATGTATCTGTAACAGGAACAAACAATAATGATACTTAAAATAAAATTTTTTTTTCTTTGCAACCCATAGATTGGTAACTCTTCTTCTCTATTTTTTATAGTAACTCGCTATTTTTTTTTGTGCCTTATAACTTTAACTTCTGCATATTTCTTGATCTGTTCAATAATTGTATTACGAGTTAGTTCATGTAGTCTTTTTCCTATAAATATGCCCTCTATATTGTGCTGTGGAGTTCTCTGGATTGTTAGTGTATATCCCACCATTTTCCATTTTCTCTTCCTAATAGAATCTAAGTAGTAAACATTCCTTGACTACTATTTACATTACATCTTGTTTATTTTTTTTCGTTTTATCAAACTTATTTTCTATATTTTTCTGTACACGTCCATCAATAATATTTGTTAGAATTTTTAATGCTAAAGAGAGCTTATTAATCGATCACATATTGAATTTACTTTGTGTTATTTGAAAATATTCACAATTATGCTATTACAATAAACAACAAAACTTCTCCCTTTTCATATATGTCTTGAGTGAGATTGTATAAAGCATTTTTTACTAGTTGACTACTATTTGAAGTAATTCTGCCGGTATATAATCAATTCCTGGTTCTTCTTTTGTTTGAGTTCTCTCAATAGTGTATTAAATTCTGATCTTAATATGATCATCAATATTTGTTCTTCCCTTACCTTCCAGTTCATTAGATTTTCTTCATAATATTGTTCTTCTAAGCAATCTTTCCATCTATATATCATTTAGACATTATAAATTATCAGTTTATCATCTTTGTTCTGTATAGTTTTGCCATTTTGTTTTTTTTCCAACCACTTAAAATCTTACGATAAGTTTCGTCTGTTTTGTTATTTTTAAAAAGTGCTTCAATTTCCTAACATTGTTTCTCTAACCAAGTTTCTTTAACTTTCTTAACTCCTCCATGTACTTGATTTCTTAATTGTTTATACCTTTGGGCTCTTTTAGTCTTGTGTTTTTTAAATTATCTTCTTTCTTCATTGTTTCTTTTTTTCTTTTACTTAATGTAACATCTGCTACACTACTAATTGCGTTTTTCATACATTGAATTTTTAGTTTACTGTTGTTAAGTATAGAAGTGATAATACGAGGGACGTCCAGAAAGTAAAGATACAAGGCTTACCAAAAATATACTAAACCGTTTTATTAAAAAAAAATTACATAGCATTAAAGGTATATATCTAATCATTTTTCGACATAATCGCCATTAAGTTCCAAACACTTTTGCTAACGTGGGATGAGTTTTTGTATACAGGCGTCGTATTCCGTTCGCGTCACCTCCTGTAGCCATGTGGTCGTGTAATGTTTGAGGTCCTCATCGTCGTCGAATCTTTTCCCTCCCAAAGCTTCCTTCAACTTGGTGAAGAGATGGTAATCGCTGGGGGCCAAGTCAGGACTGTGAGGTGGGTGGAACAAAATGTCCCAACCAAATTGCTGCAGTAATTCTTGTGTTGCTCGAGCAGTATGGGAGCGAGCGTTATCATGAAGAAGACACACTCCTTTTGTCAGCATTCCCCGTCTTTTGTTCTTTATGGCACTTCTTAATTTTTTAAAGGTTTCACAATATGCTTGTGCATTAATGGTAGTGCCACGGACCATGTAATCGACTAGGATAACTCCCTTCCTGTCCCAAAAAACGGATGCCATGACTTTCCGGTCTGAAAGAGTTGTTCGGAATTTTTTGGCACTGGGAGAATGTGTATGGCGCCACTGCATTGATTGTCTTTTAGTTTCTGGCGTCGTGTAAGAAATCCAAGTTTCATCTCCTGTCACTATACTGTCCAAAAATTCCTCTCCTTGTTCGTCATGACGTTCCAAAAAAATTCTTCCTGCCTCAATCCTGTTCTGTTTGTGTTCTTCTATGAGCATTTTTGGGACCCAACGAGCACTCAGTTTCCTGTAATCAAGTCGATTCGAGATTACTTCGTGCAGAACAGATCGAGAAACGCCTGGGCACTTCTCGAGAAGTTCGTCGAGAGTCAAACGACGATCTTCACGGATGAATTGTTCGACTTTTTGGATGAAATCGTCGGTCACCAAAGACGGCCGGCCGCTCCTCTCCTCATCATGCACACTCTTTCTTCCTTCTCGAAATTCTCGTACCCATTTGGTGACGTTTTGGCGATTCATAACATCTGGTCTATATGCTTTGACAAGTCGACGATGAATTTCAGTGGGAATGATTCCTTCTTGAGCGAGAAAACGGATCACACTTTGAATATTCAGTAATAGAGGTGGCGGTAGCGCGCGATGACTCGCCCATCGTGAAAACCTCTCACGAACAAAAAACGTAACGTACTAAAACCGTACTGGTCTGAACTTGTTCGCGACATGTCACCAAAAGTTTCAGTAGTGCCAATGCTCGAAAAAAAAATTCACTGTGGCCGTAGGGAGGCTTGTATCTTTACTTTCTGGACGTCCCTCGTATTATTGAAAGACGTGTTCTAATCGCTCCTGTTATTTTTCGGTTTTTGTGTGAAATGTATGAGGGTTTCAGCTTCGATGCGATGCTGAGAAGGTATTGGTTTTACTATGATGTTTTTTTTTTTCTGTGTGTGTGTCTGTTACCACTTTTTCTCAGGTCTCACCGAACCGCGAGTCGAGTCACATATATGTTGTTATTTTTCAGCTTAGCCCACACCCCGTAAAATTTAAAAGCGACCAGCGTACTCAATATTTTTTGAAGTTGGTCAGACCAGAAGCATTTATCTGGTAGTACTGCTGCAAATTACTATCAGAAAGTAATTTTTTGGAACACAAACCCTTAATTTTAGACTTGTCGCGGTCGCATCATATTTCTAGTGTTACTGCTGGATGGCGATCGCGCTTCATTTTCACGTCCGACAAGTCATGCTATGCAGGGTAGCCGATGGGCAGCGTGAACCGGTCTTTTGGGTGCCGGTATGAGATTATCTTTTCAACTATCACGTTGATTTTAACAAACGGAAGATTTTGCATATAACTGAACATATTGTTACATTTATTTTAATTACTGTTCTTATTATTGTAAATAATATTATTCTTTTAGAATAAATGCACTCAGTGTTGTTAAATTCAATCATTTATTATAGTAATGACCTTGACTCAATCAGACAGCCAATTTCTCGGTAACGAGTGGTCACAGAATTTCTGAGTTTTCACCAATAATTTTTTTTTGATAGTCTAAGTAGTACGTCACCACTTAGGGGTCTAAAATCTCTTTAAGGTAATTTTGCCCAATTTTGGGTGCAGAAATCCCAAAAATTAACAGTTGGTCGCAGAAACCTCCTATACATCAGAAAGAGCGAATAGCGGAAGTAAGCTTTTAACACTGATGATGCCTTCGGTTATAGGCTCTGATTCTCCATTAAAAAATTGATTGGAGGAGGATATCTTTAGCGGAGATAAGACACCATCCATCGAGAATAGGTTGGTGGAGAGTAGTTAAAAACCGGATCTCTTCAGTAAAAACTAAGAGAGAAACCAAGAGAAAGTCTACAGCTATGTAGGTATGACACTTTTAACCAACAAAGGACAGAAATTAGAAAGGATACAGTTCGAAAATGGAAGCGGCAATTGGTCGTGGACATCAATGAGGAGTGAACTAGGCGGCTAATTTATTGCCGAGGAGGCATGGGTCAAAAGATTTCCATCTGTCCCAACTGTTTTGTTATCACGAATATTTTGGTCAGTATTAAAAAAGCATTCTACGAAAAATGCTAGAGCTAAGTGGGGATATAGGATAATGCAGAACACACATGGTGCTTGGCGTGGTCGGTGCTAAGGAATCAGTTGGAGGCGCTGATCGGGGACGTCAATGTAGAGACTAACTATTGAATAACTTGTAAATTGTCGGTTTGAAATTGTTATTGTTGTAGTTATTTACATTGTATATATCGGAAACAACTTGTTAAATTTTACTTGGTTTATGAATCTATTTTTAACTATTATATAATCTATTTGATATCGTGTAATATAATCAGGCATTTTCCAAGTGTACCTCCTTTTGTTATGATTTTGAAAATGAGTGTTTGTTATTAGACCTCAGTCAATACAGAATTCTTTAGTATCCTCCTCTTCCATTTCTTTTTCTTAATCCAAACTATCTAACTGCCCTACCCTCTTTTCCTACTCTAATAATAGCATTGAAATTTCCCATAGTTATTATGTTATAATTAGAGTTTGTACGTTTCATTAATTCTTATATGCCTGCGTATACTTCTACGATTTCTTTAACATCTAACCTACAAGTAAACATATACACTTGTATTAGTATAATGTTATTAATAGTGGATTTGCATTTGACTAGCAGTACATCACAAAATTGTAACTCGCGATTTCTTAATTTTTATTCAAGATAATTCCAAAGTTTTTTCTATTAATAATGTGTGAATGAATAATTCTATAGTTATCATTACAAAAATCACTATTATTTGACCATCTCATCTATCATAATCGTAAAATATCTATGTTTAATTTTTAATTTCTATCTTAAATTCTTTAATTTTCCTTCTTGTTTCATTATTTGTACATTTCTAGTTCTTATATTATGAAGCTGATTTTCTGCATTGTTGTTCCAATTTGGACATCCAAATGGGGGGATAAATACGTCCGACAGTAATTTTACTCAGCGAAACTCCATTTCTAAAATATGATAAAAGTTGTAGCATCCACCTGTAACTAAAATTAAAGATGGTACTTCCCACCTTCAGGCCTTTTATCCACCTCTTACAACAGACAGATCTACCGTAAGTATTGTTAAGAGTACTCTTCCTTACCCACAGCGACCAACAATTGAATTTCTAGACCTATCTATATCTCAGTGTATCTCTGATACGGGAAATTAATAATAATAATTTATCTGAAATGATAATTTTTAATAAAATGATTATTGAAAATGGCCATAACTTGGTCATTGTTAATAATTTTTGAATCTGGTAACTACGACAAATTTTTTAAATATGTTTTATTCTATGAATTTCGTAGTATCAAATAATTTAAATTAAATTATTTAATACAAAAATTAAGTAAAATAAGTACGAGCACAAATTTAAGTTACTAGTTATTATATTTTAGCTACATAAATGAAAAAACATAAAAACTATGTTAAGATCTTACTATATTCTGATAACATTAATAACTTTTGATTCGCCAAATATTTTGAGTTATTTTTTAATAATTATTTAATAAATATCAAATCCCCAAAAAAGTACTATACAAAATTACCTTTCCATCAGCACCAGGTATACCCCTTTCGCCAATAGGACCTGGTTTTCCTGGCGGTCCTGATTTCCCGATAGGTCCACTTAAGCCTTGAAGACCTTTAGACAAAATTAAAATTTTATATTTATAAATTGCTCAAATTTTTATATTTATTTCATGTAATGTTTTTTACCTGGCATTCCTTGTCTACCTGTATCGCCCACAGCTCCTATAATATAATATATATATAAATTAAAGCTTACAAAAAGTTATTAAAAATTAATATGTTTTTCAGCGTAACCATTATGTTATTAAAATACAACAGACATTTTGAATACAAAGCCATATTTTAAACAAGCAAGATTGTCTTTTGTTGATATTACAAAACATGATTTACATTCATAAAAGATATACAAACCTTTCGTTCCAGGAGGACCTTCTGAACCCCTATCTCCTTGTGAACCTGAAACAATGCATAATTTTACATAATTTTTGATTAATTGAGAAAAATAGATTACTAAAAAAGATAATACCTAAATTAATAAAAAAAATAACTTATCATCAATAATTATAATTATTGACCATTATAGTATTTTAAAATATAAAATATATTATATTGACTTATTATTTATATTGTTCCTGCTCTTCAATATAATAAAAAAAATTTTTTAATATAAAATACAGATGATTTAAAATTGATTTGGAATATTTCAGATTTTTTTTCTAAGTTACTTAAAGAACATGATATTTTAAAATTTATAATTAATTTTCATTTTCAACAAAAATATCGTAAATATGTACCTTTATTACCAGGAACTCCATCTGGTCCAGGCAAACCACGCTCTCCTGAATATTAGAGAATAAAGAATTAGAAAAAAATTACAGATTATGAAAAGTAAAAAAACTAAAAAACAAAATACATTTTAAGTATAGATTTTTATGTTTTTAAAAATTAAAAAGATTACGACTCAAATTTTGATTTTTTAAAATTAACAACATAATAATAAATAACATTTAAGTATCTGCTGGGTGATTTTCAGATTTCTAGAACAAGCACAATTATTTTTGAATTACAACAGTTTTAGAGATGTGCCATATACCGTGTGCAATATATTTTTCAACTGTAAATTTTAGTCAAATTTACTAGGTATCATAGATATCATTATTTATTTAACATTTTTGCGAATTCAATTTTGATTGAAAGATAGAATAATAATAAATTACTTGAATATTTTAGATGACTTCATTAATACGGAATAAGATAATAAATACTGTTTTAATACGGATTTAAGTTATATTACATTATTAATAGCTGATTAATAATAATACGCATCAGTATATCACACACTGAGAATTAAAATGTTATGTATGGTTTTTATACAATAAGAATATTATAACTGGTTCATTTTTTATTGAAATCATATACAAAATCATATAATTTACCTGGAAGACCTCGTTCCCCTTGCATTCCAGGCAGTCCACGTGGTCCTTCGGATCCTAAAAAGAATTAGATTAGTTTTATTGCTTATGTACTAATATATACATTTTAGATAAAGTAATTTGTGACATTATCGGGTAGGTTTAGTGTCGGCACTTTAATTTGCGATGGCTCGTGAAAATTACAAATGCAAAAATCAAAATCCATGTCAGAATATAAAATGTGCAAATACAAAAACATGAATATTGCTTTAGTTTAGTGTAAATTAAAAACAATAAAGAAAATAATTTTGAGAAAGTTTATATAGAGTTACTAGAAGCTATTTATATTTCTATTGAAATGATTCATTACGATATAGAGACAAAAAATATAATAAGTGATTTTAACGAATTTTTGAGCTCTTTTCATAAATTTACTGTTAATAGTAATTATATAATATTCTGACCATATGTTAATATAAACAAAAACATTTTTAGATCTTCATAAAATTTTGTATCAATTTTAAACTTGCAGTTCAACATAAAAAAAAATAAATTTTCAACATTTTTAAATTTTAAACTTTTATAAAAATCAACTTTAAAGAACCAAAAAATAGGTAAAACTTGACATTTTGAACCGAAATTTTGTACGGATTATATTTAAAAATAAATATAAATTTTTTAATTTAAATAATCGTTTTTATAAATTAGCAACAGTCTAAAAAAAAAAGGCAATAGAAAAAATATAATTGCAGTTATTTAATATAAATGAGATAAAAGTTAAACGAATTTTGAATTTTTTTCCGCCTCAAAAAGAATTAAAAAACAAATGCAATAAATAACATTCAACAAACGGTTAAATGTATTAATTTTTAAAATTGTAATTTTTTTGAAGATTTCCCCCATTTACGGGGAACGAGGAGAATTTTCGAGCGTAATGTCTTTGACTAGATACGATTTGTACGATTGATATATTGTTCATCAAAATCGGTCCAGCGAAAGCTAAGTGGTAACAGACGCAAAGTAAATCACATCATAGTAAAATTAATACCTTCTCATCGAAGATAAATTTGTCAGTTTTACATTAAAATATATTTAACTCTCCATAAAACTTTTATTAACTCAATTATACATTATGGTAGTCACAGTTTATATCAAACAATATTGACAATAGCACAAGTTTATTAGTTATTAATCACTTTACAAAAAGAATTTCAATTTATTTTTAACTTTTTTTTTTATATAATTAGACCTCTTTACTTAAGAACCATAGGTAAAATATTACCTTTTCGTCCTCTTTTTCCTTCTGGACCGTCCATTCCCGGCAAACCTCTTGGCCCCGGAGCTCCTTTAAGATGTTTAAGCTAATTAGCAATAAAATTTACAATGTATAATTAAAATTCGATCCTTACCAATCTCGCCCTTAATTCCTGATTCACCTTTATAACCTCTTTCGCCATGCATTCCCTACAAAATTTAAAGGAAATTGAATTATGCGAATATTTCCTGTTAAGTTTTATACACTTACATCAATTCCTTTTACACCTGGAGGTCCTATGCTTCCTGGTTCTCCTGGAGGACCTCGAGGGCCTGGAAATCCAGATGGCCCAATTGGACCACTTGCACCTAAAATTAGCAAAATGTGTTTTCAGTTTATTTCCAACAATATAATAAAATCAATTAATTTAGATTGATTTAAAAATAATAATACAGCCCTTCCTTACAAAAACAGATTATTGAATATAAAACATTTTTTCAACCATATGGTATATGTTAAGATTTTTAATTATTTTGTAGCATACTAAATAAACTTTATTTACAAACCTGGACTTCCCTTTTCTCCGGGTAATCCATCTTTACCTGGTGATCCAGGGAGACCTAAAAAAAATAAAACTAGTATTTTAAATTTAATAAATTAATTATGTTCAGTTTTAAGTAATAATAACTGTTTACATCATATTAACCACATTAAAATTATGTATTATGATACATTTTAATTAAATTTAAAAAATATATAACATCATAACACATTTTTTAATTTATTCAATTTTAAATTGTTTATCAGATATTAAGTTTAACTATAACACATGTATAATATACCTGCTTCTCCAGATTCACCTGGTTTACCAGATTCACCCCTTGGACCTTGTATACCAATGCTACCCTATAAATAATGGCAAATATATATACAAGTTATTATCAGAACAGTATTTTATAATGTTATGAATATTAAGAGTTTTTAGGTCGATTCACACTAAACGGAACACGTCAACGTCACGTTACAGATCGGCAGCGTTACGTCAAAATATTTAACTATTTATTTACGTGGTGTTGACGTTACATAACGTGGCCGGTGTATGTGAACAATACGATATAAATACATGGTTAGATATTTTGATGTGACGATCTATGACGTGACGTTGACATTCCGTATAGTGTGAATCGACCTTAAGACAACAACTAAAAACTTACTTTTGGTCCAGGTAAACCCAAATCGCCTTTTGCGCCAACCTATATAAACATTTTTCAAGTATTTATCAATAAATGTTTAATATACATGTACAATATAATTTATATCAACTATTATTCATTTTTAGGTTTATCTCCTATGTATGTTTTTTTTAAATCTGAAGATTAAATATTTGATAAAAATTAAAAATGTATCTATTTTTAAAAAAATCGAAATTAAAATTTACAGTGCATGAGTTGAACAATAAAAAACTTTGAAACGTTATTAACTTTATCGAAACATTATGGACCACTTAGCATGCATATTACAAGGGAATAAAAGAATAATTATAATAGAAAATTTCTTATTCAAATTTGTTTAAAAGTCTATAAAAATAGACTGAAAGGTGGAAATTTGGCGCTTGTCGTCCTCTAAAAAAGTATTATAAAATTATATGTATTCTTACACAAATAAAATGTATAAGGTGGTAATTTAATCCCTCAACATTTTTTTATAAATTTACGCCAATGTTTTTAATATAAATTTAGTTGTATTAAAGTAATTATTTTAGTATAATATAGCTTTTTGGCTTGAATTACTTTTATTGAAAAATATAATAACATACCGAACCAGGAAATCCGGGAGGACCTGGTTTTCCAATATTTCCTGGTGGACCGATTGCTCCAGGCAAACCATCAGCACCTATAATATTAAATTATCTCTTATACTAGACAAGCATTAAGAGGACGTCATACAGCCAAATTTAGAGCGCAAAAACATGTCTTTTTAAAATGCATTTTATACACTAAGTATTGCACTTAGAGCAATAACATCTATTATAAAAACGAAAGAGAAAAATATTTTGGAGATGATCTCATATGCGTTTTTGGATATTTATATTAGTAAAGAGTTATAATTGAATGAAGTTTAATAAAAAAAATACATTTTCAAATTCAATTAATTTCATAGCAATATAAAATAAGTTTATTGAAATTAATTGCAAACGTAATTATTGAAATGAATACCTCGGATTCCAGCCGGTCCCGGAGCGCCTTCTCGTCCACGTTCTCCTCTAGGACCAATTGGGCCCTTAAATCATAAAACATAAAACATATCACTAAACTAATTCAATCTTAATAAATAACTTTTTTTTAATATTACTTACAACTGATCCAATAATTCCAGGTTGACCAGGAGATCCAATTGAACCTTTTTCACCAATAGGACCTTAAATTGAATTTTTCTCATTAAAACATTTCTTTACATTTTATAAAATTTGCATATTGAATTTAAAAATATACTTCAAAATTACAATGCTATGTATTGCTATTTTATTATTTACTATACTTAAAGTAAAAAATTGGGAAAAATACATTTTTAAGGTAACGATTAGCATAGTCGTTAATAAGCTAATAGAGCTTTAAGAGCTTTAAGAGTAAATAAATAGGTTTTACTATTCTAATTTTATTGTGTGTATCTATCTATATGAAACCTCCGCTCCCACTAGATCGATTTTACTCACGATATATAAAAAAACACAAAACGTAACGAGTTAATACCAAGAACACCATACATTTTTTAATTCTTCTTAATCCCAGTAATAAAGAGAAATTACTCAAAAATTTACGGTCGTGTCATAAACAGTTCATGCTAGTATTTTTAGTTTTCACAATATATTGAAATAATTTTTTGAAAACTGAATGAAGTGTTGCGAAATTATTATTGATATTTTAATAATTAACATCAAATATTTACTGTGCTGACTAAATACATATTTAAAAACTTTAACCTTTATTTTATTTTTATTATATTTTATTATAATATACAGGCTCAACACATTTTCATGTTTTATAAACAATATACAAACAACTATTTTGTTTCTATAGATAAACATTTATTTACATTTGCTAAATGTACATGGAAATTTCTTGCAGACTTAATTCACTTGCGTGTTCTTAAATTTTCGATTAATCAAATTTTTCATACTTCTATAGTTATTAGTGTTGAAATATATATTTAGTTCAATACTTTTATTTATATATACTGTATACAAATAATGGAAAATACGCACTCGGTAAACGTGACTAATAAAGTCTTGATGTTTGAAAAATTAATAAAAAGTGCTGCAAAAAGCAATATAACAAAAGAAATTAATACAAGAAAAAAAATAAGAGAATATACATTTGATTTAAATCGCCCAATTCAAAAAGATGATCTAAAAATAATATGTACTGACACAAAAGTTCCTAATCGTACAATCCCAGTAACCAAAAAAACGATGAACTGAAAAAGAAGAATTTTAAAGGTGAGTTAAGGGTACATTTAGTTAAATTGACTAGCGATAAAAATAGCAGCAGAACACATTCCTCAACGCCTTTAAAACTAAACTGTTAATAATTTTTGAAATATTGATCCAAAATTTGTAATTCTTCAGTCATTTTTTTTAATTAGATTGTTAATAAATAAATAAACTAGTTCATTATATATATACCCAATTGAAAAAAACCCAGCACAGGGGGGTCGTGGCACAGTGGTGCCGTGATATAGTTGGATCAAGTATAATGATATCTGATAGTGATTAAAATCACTATCAAAAATAAACGCTTTAATGAAAATCTTTAGATTGTGTTTAATTTTAAAAAAATTGGTGTATTATTCCAAAAGCTACATGATTAGCTAGTTCCTTATTAATATCTTGATTAAGATAAAGTATGTAAAATAAAAAAGAGATTATTAAAAAATATTATTTCTCATAAAAAATTGTATTGATTCATATATTTTTCAAAAAGTTATAGCACTTTAAAGTAAAAAATGTAAATTATAAAATCGAGAATTTTCACACAAAAATAGCATTCGGTAGCCGTGTTCACCATGAAGACAAGTCCAGAGGTCAATTTTTTTTTTTTTAATTAAAGTATATTACATAAACTTCAATTTAAGATATATATAAAAGTGTCAGACCTTCCGGACACATTTTCAAAAGTTAAGTTGAAAAAGTTGTCATTTTAAATCCCCCCCTGTGGGCAGTTAAAGTGTCAGATTTACAAAAAAACTATACCAAATGATAAGTAAAGACATCAAGCATTTATAAAAGAAAAATTATATTGATTTGTTCATTTTTAAAAATGTTATGGCAGTTTTAATAAAAAAAATTGAAAAAATTAACGATTTTTAAATTTGTAATTTTTTTGGAGGTTTCCCCCATTTACGGGGAACGAGGAAAATTTTTTCAATTTTTGAGGTTAATGTCTTCGACTAGATACGATTTGTGATCTTTAGACGTATCGTTGAAAGAAATCGGTTCGGTGAGAACCGAGAAAAAATGGTAAGACACGCCAAACAAAAAAAATACATCATAGTAAAATTAATACCTTCTCAGCTTCGCATATGGAAGCTAAAAAAATGATGTCGATTCATTAATTTTTAAATAAGTTATTGCAGTTTTCAGAAAAAAATTTCAAAATTGACAGATTTTAAAAATCATTATTTTGGGGGGATTTGCGCCATTTACTCAGAATGAGGAAAATTTTTTCTATTTTCAATTTGGTGTTTCGCGTATTATTGACTAAACTATAAAAAAAAACGCCGATTTACGTAAAAAAGAGAAAAATGATAAAAACGGTTTATTATTTAAACACTTTTAGATTATTAACAATATATGCATGCATTACATGTACTAACTGTCTACTTGTGGCGAACTAACTTATGAGTGACTAATTGATTGACTGATCTCGCGCTGTTTTATAGTGTGTAGTGTTCTAGAATATTCTTTTATGGGCAATCGAGAACATTCGCGCTATATGCATTTAGTGTTGACTATCTGTACCGAAGATTCTCGATCGTTCAATGGTCGCTACATTACTCCCCCTCAGTACACGGAGTGCTTATAATAAATAGTTAATAATATTGTTTTATATGATATAATTTGTAGTCAGATACTTTGAGAAATGTACTTTTCGTCCTGATCGAGTTTACCTTGGTTGTGCTGAAACTGCTGTACTTGTTGTGTCTGTGTTATGTTCAAGTGCGTTGTTTTCTATATAAGCGAGTTTAAGTCGATCAATTGATATTGTTCTGGATGGAAAAAAGGTGGAAAGAGTATTTTGAAAAATTACTAAATTATGGTGTTTTAAATGTTGAAAATAACTAGTTTTTAAAATTGTAATTTTTTTGGTGATTTCCCCCATTTATGGGAAACGAGGGAATTTTTTTCAATTTTTAAGGGCAATTTCTTTAACTAGATACGATTTTTGATCTTTTGGCGAATCATTGAAAAAAATCGTTCCAGTAAGAGCTGAGAAAAAGTAGTGATAGACACAAAAAAAATAAAATAAACACATCATGGTAAAATTAATACCATCTCAGCTTCGCATTGAAGCTAAACATCGTATTTTTGTTAGAATTATCCAGTTTACGGGAAGCGAGGAAATTTTTTCAAATTGTGTGGGTAATGCTTTCAACTAAGTACAATATGTGATCTAATGACAGGTCGTTGAAAATAATTGGTTTAGTAGGAGTCGAGAAAAATACGTGACAGTTAAAAAATATATATATTATGGTAAATAAATTTTAGCTTTGCATTGAAGCTAAAAAGGATGAGTCTAATGGTTTATTTTAACTTGTCATAAAATTATATAATATTACGTAAGTATTAACAGTGGGATGTCTACAAAACAGTTGCTTATCTACTTTTGGAGGCGTCATAGCCAATAAAACTCCGGTAAAAATGTATGTAATGTTATTTAAATTTATGTTCTTGTGATTATGAATATTCTATGTGTTTTAAGTCAGAAATATTTTTAGGTGTAGCTGAAAAAAAATCTTTATTTTTGACCAACAAAAAATTTCAAATTGATATCAAATACAAAATACTTAATACAATTGAATATTAAATTATATTACTCATACTTACATTAATAATTAATATAATTTAAAAAAATATTTAAAAATTTGAATAAAAATAATTACAGTAAAACTTTAATTTAAACTTTGTTAATATGCGATCCTGTATTTTATGCGAAATTTTTATGGTATTAGGTATCCATATACACCCAGAGAAAAACCTCGATCTATATAATAAATTCATTGTTCAATTTGATAAATATATCATTACTATTGAATCTATGATATATTTATCAATATGATAATTTTTTTTCTTGTCTTGAACAATAATTATTTATAAGAATAATTATTTTGTTCGTATTAATAAAACATTATCATAAACCCTTGATAAAATTTCTCTATTAAAATTGATTGTGGTTTTTCTTTGGGTGTATATTTTAGCGTTAAAAATATCCGGATTTATAAGAAATCTCATATAATAAACTTTTTTTCTAGATCCTTGAAACTTTTTACATTAAAATAATCCCTCCTATTACGTCGATAAAAAAAATGAACTATTAACTTATCTTCACTTAATACATATATTCATTAAATTTTATATATATATATAGTGTTTTTTTTTTTTACTAGTATTACAAATTGCTAAATTTTTATCGTAATATTTTTGTTTTCAATTCTGTTAAAAAGTTTTAAAATTGTACCAAACGGAACCTGCTTAATACAATTTTCCCTTTGGGAGCATATTAACGAGGTTTTACTGTAATTTAATAAGAAAAAAGTAGTTTTGCGTAACTTTTGATTAATATTTATTTACCTTGTTCGCCTTTGACACCATCCACACCTGGATATCCTCTATGGCCCTAAAATCAAAAAGTATTTAACTTAATCAATTTCGATTAATGAATTAATAGATTTGTTAAATGAGGCGTATAGTCTCAAAATCAGCTGGAACATTATTTTTTTGTATTTTATAAAGGTAACTTTATATTGCATGTTTGTACAAATATTTAACAACTGACAATATTATAATTAATCATCGAAAATTGTTTTCCTCATATAACCTCATTAAAAATTTTATCTTTTTTTATTGTTTCACGAATATTAAAAAAAAATGTTTTATCTGATTTTAAAATTGCACACATAAAATATAATCTCAATTAATTATAATTACTATTAAAATGTATAAATTATTATTATTTCATACGTACAAAAGGAGGCAAGCCTCAGTAGGAGATGACTTGATCAACAAAAATATTTTCAGTTATATTTAGAGCACATTTCATAAAAAAAAATAAAGGAGATATATTCCTTTTTGATTAGCTGTAAGTTAGCATGTTTAAAGTATGTTTTATTAAACCATTGATTAAATACAAATAGATATACCATATAATAGGAAACTTCTATAACTCTGTTTAAGACCCAAATAAGGTTCACTACTAGATAGTGTCCATGTTGCGATACCACCAATGAATATAACTTTTAATACTAATAATTTCAAAATACTGACCTTTGCACCAGTTAAGCCAGGCATTCCTGGTAATCCTCTTGGACCAGGAGGGCCAATAGTTCCTGGTTGTCCCGGTTCAGCATCATGTCCTCTTTCTCCCTGTATCATAAAAAAGAAAATTAAATTTTTGTTTAATATTTTTTGTCCATACTTACATCTCTTCCAGGTAATCCAGGAATACCACGGGGGCCAACAGGACCTGGAGGACCTGGTGGACCATTATCTCCTGAATCTCCACGAGGGCCCTTTTAAAGTTATTAATTTATTACAATACGGATATATTCTATAAATATTTTATATTTTTATACACAATTATACAGTGTTCCACGATATTCTACACAAATTCACTAACTTTTCGTATGGTAAAATGTCAGAACATCGTTGGACAATATATATTTGAATAGAAGCTTTACGAATAAAAAAAATCCTTATAAATTAATTTTGCAATAAACCCCATAAAAATAAATTTTATTTTTGAAATTAAAATAAATAATTATTTACAATGTTGTATTATCTTACTTGAAAGCCTTGAGGTCCGGGTGGTCCTGGAGGACCAGGAGGACCTCTTAATCCAACTGGTCCAATATGAGCCTGCATAGTATGAAATGGTTCTGGAGGATATTCATTTATTATTGGTCCTTTATCTCGACTTCCATGTGCCTGAGCTAATTGTTGATAATAAGTACTTACATCAGGAACTGGTCCAGGAGGCCCAGGCATTCCTGAATTATGAACAAATATTAAAAAAAAATTGATTATTTGAACAAAATAAAAAGTAAAAATGTAATTAAAAAGTAGAGAAATAGATGCTCTTCAGAAAAAAAATAATATCATGGTGAAAATACAAAGTATTAATATTACAGGGGAAAAGTAAAAAATTTTCTTACAAATATCGCAATCACATCACTGATAAAGAAAAACATATACATAAAGATACATTTCATTAGAAAAAAATGTTTTGAGTATTTATCACGTGATACTAATGTCAAAAGAAAATTATTATTTTAATCATTACCAGGAACGCCTGGTATACCAGGTACACCTCTTTCACCAGTTGGTCCTTGTTTTCCTCGTTCTCCTTGAAAACCTGGTTCACCCTATACAATATGAAAAATATTAATATCTTTCATATTCACTTAAAACATTAATTTAGATAATTTTTATCTATAATAATATAATATTATTAATATAGTTATATTTATCAAACAAATGCTAAATTAAATATAACATGTTACGGGAACAAAATAATGAGTTCTTAATTAGTTTCACTTGATACCATTGATATAATTTCATAAAAATATTCAGAGGGGTAGTTTCACTATTTCCTAACATGTTAAAACATCTAATTTTATTGATTTTTCGGAGACCTTATTAACATATTTGTATTGAAATCACCAACCCAAACCAAAAAAGTTATAAATAAATTAATAGTCCTGCTTAAGTTATATTGAAATAACTTGAAATTAATTAAATTTAAGTTGTTTTAAGTCGAAATATTGTGTAGTTAGTGGTATTCTTTTAATTCAGAAAAGAAAAACGTTATAATAAAATCGTTTACATCATTAATTTTTATCAATACGTGATCAAGAAACGTAAAATAAAAAATCATAAATATATAATGGCAATAAAAAAATATTGTTTAAAAAATTTATAACGCAATAAACATGTGTATATACATATTCTCTTCTAACGTTTTATTTAAAAAAAATCCTATTTTGAAGAAAGTAGCCGCTTGCTACTTACTTACCTTGCTACTATATTTTGAACTCCTTATAAATGTTAAACATAATATTGTTAGTTTTAACAAAAAAAATTAATGTTAAACATAAAAATTCCTTTACTTTATTAATTTAAACTTTATTAATTTAGTGTGATACATAATATTAAAGAATAAAATGCGCGTCTGATTTCTGATGCACGAAGGAAGCAGAGCTTTTTGATGATAGTTTAGTTCTATATATATTCATTCATAAATGTAGAACTAAAAAAACAATAAAGAAATTAACAACGTAATGTTTATAAATGTATCTATAAATATAAATGTAAATGAGTAGGGTTTCGAACTCTCTTTATATAAAATAGTTTAAGATTATTTTTCCACCGTAGACAATCATTAATACTGCAAGAATGTCCAAAACTATTTTCTATAAAAATGTTCAAAAAATATTTATACATTTTCAAATAACGATTTCTTATTGTGATGTTTGAAATTCATTAGCTATGGTTAATATTTCTTGAGTTGTTTTTTGACGAATAGAAAAATTCATATCTTTTCTATATTTTTTGGTGCTTTGAGTGATGGAACTTATAGAAAAATTTTTACGCTCCTATTATTCTTCGCAGTATTAAACATCTATTTTTATAGTTTTTGCTTAGCTAGCTTTATCTGTTACCTATTAATTGACACGTCGTTTAATAGATTAATTAGTGTTACCCTCAGTTTTGAAAATGATGTTGTGCTTGAAATGAATACTAAAGAGTTAAAAAGTATTTAATTGTATAATACTTTTCAATAAATTTACTAAATACAAATTATGGTTAAATTTATAACTCGCAAATAATTAATTAGTAAGAATATTAAACATAGTTTTAATGAGGGTAACTCGATTTCACCATATGGAGAATTTGGTACCGACATATTGCATCCCATATAAATTTAAATTTAATAAAAGTCAGTTAATAGATTGAAATTATATTTAATAAGCATATGTTAATACATACTCGAGTTATTGGAGGAGAATAGTATACTGGAGTAGACGTACCTATAAAATTACAATGATTTTTATTTTAATTAAATTGAATAGTAATATAGTAAAAATATTAAAATTATCTTTTAAAAGATATTAATTTAAGGCCAAATTTAGAGGTTATCCTAAAGTTATAGTACATTTTAAATAGTGTACAATTGAATTAAAAAATGTTACTCCTGAAGAATTTTTAAAATATAATGGAGAATTAATACAACTGTAAAAAAAAATATTTGGAATATTAAAAGATATTTAAAATTTGATTTAGAACTTCAGCTAATACATTAATCAAGAAACTTTCACATTATAATGTTAAAATTTTAGTCCTAAATTTAAAATTGCATTAGAAAAATTGAAGTTGACACCTTTATAAGGTATGAGGTATGAACATAAAAAAACTTTATGATTGAAAAATTGAAAGAAACATTGAACTAAAAGAAGCAAATAAAAAAATGATAAATATTATTTTTAGTTTTTAATTAATTAAGTAGTTCATGATAAGTGAATCGTCCTATACATCTTCTTTATATTTTTAATGTTATTTCATGAATCATAGTTAAGCGTTTATTTACTCTACAAAAAAATTCTTAAAAATAGTTTAAAAGTTAAAAAATTTGTTGATTTAATTAAGACGGTAAACTAATTTAAAAGCCTTTTTCAACCATACGGGTGAATATCAAAAGTTTATTTTATAACATTTGTAAATAGAAAACGATATTAAATATTATCTGATATTTCATAAAATTGTGTTTCAGCTTTTAAGTGTAAATATTTTGTCAAATGGGTTACAAGGCATTATTTTCAACGACACTATGCATTATGTCCCCGAGTACAGAAACCATTGTAATTATTAATTCTCCAGGATACATCAGTCCATTCTTCAAAGCAGACTGGCGTTAATCAACTATTAAAAATAAAAATTATCGAAAAAAATCTTTTAAATAAATGTAATCTAAAGTACATTTAGAACTCTTAAAAATAGAGTTGAATGAATTGAATCTGGATGAATATCAAAATTTAAAACAGTTATAATACAATTAAAAATCAACTTACTCGATAATTCTTGAAAGTCTTGTTCAGATTTTTCTTGAACTTTGATTACATCATGCCCTCCGTAATTTTCATTTTTTGTTGATTGTTCCCCATAGATTGAAGTAGTTATAATTGGAGATTCTGTGTAATATTGTTCTTCTGATGTATGGTCTTGAACTAAATGTGTGGAGGTATGAACGTAAGGTTTTCGAGTGACGTTATCATTATAAATTCCGTATTCATTTGATACAACCGAAACGCGTTTTTCAAGATAATCCGAACTTTCTGTGCTTTCATAAGACTTTTCTGTGACAGATTGAATAATTACTGGTTGTTCATCATGTCTTTCGACTAAATTCGGTATTTCAGAACGTCCCTCTGTGGTTATTGTCCAATTATCAGGTTGAATACCAAATCTTTCTGTTGCCACCTGATGGCCTTCGGCTTGACTTATAGTAGTGTTATTTGAATCTTCATCAAAATCATCTTCTTTTGGGGGTTCACTATTCGAAATTTTTTGTTTTTCAGAACTATCATATGGCCTATCTGGTTCTGTCGGATAATCTTCATTCGGTGACGGTGACGTTGACTTGTGATCTGTGTTCAATGAAGAAGATAAACCATTTATCGCTTCTTCTGCAATACATAAATTTAAGAAAAAAATATTAAATCCATTGTAAAAATGAAATTTTCATAGTTTTTTATATACATTTTCTCTTCTTACTTTAAATATAATATACTTTGAAGTAAGTGTGTAAGGTGATTTCGCCAGTATTAATAGTTAGGAATTTTGCATATCTTAAAACTCTTTATTAATTTATATATTGATATCATACTTATAAAGTTAATCATTTTTTTTCCTTTATAATAATAATGTAAAAATATTTTTAATTAACTAACACGAAAATTTTGATTTATTATCTTATGTTGAAAATGATATTTTATCCAAAATTGTAATATTGTAGTAGGACTTATTTTATATATTATCTTTGTTATAAAAGTTACTAACATTAATTTTTTAACATCAGATTAAATATTTTTTTAATTAAAATTCATTGATTTTGTTCATTCACCAGTGATAAATTTTTAATTTTTTTTCAAAAATTACGAGGGTTGAAGGAATTTTTAATTTTTTTTTTTCAATTAATATTCAATAAATGTCTTTTTTTACTTAAAATCCTTCTAAAAGTATTTTTTTTAGTAAAAATTGGATTGTTGCATGAATTTCATGAGAACTTGCATTCTTCTAATACTCCCCCATAAATATGTCTCCACTTTGTAGTATAATATACACTATAACGACAATTTAATAGTTATCGTTATAATTTAACAGCATACATTTTAGGTGGAGTTATTTAAAGGACGGTTTTTTTTTGTCTAAATAAACAGCTGCTTTGGTCCGAAAGCTTTATAGGACCATTTTGATAATAAATTACTACAATAATTTACTAACGATTATATATTTTATAAAATAAAGAGTAGGACTACCTTGGTAAATGCCTAGATGGCCCTGAGACTCCAAGACCAATTCTTATGTTTTAATTAAAATTTTTAATTAATCCTACATTTAAATTGTTCTGTTTCATTTTAACAACTATGATGCCCATCTTTATTCGTCTATATAGATAAAGATGTAATTTATTTACCCGAATTTTTATGTTCTTTTTCATCGTATTCGTCATAATTTCCAACATCATAATCTTCGTTAGTGTGGTTAGTATTTTGTTGTTTCGGTTGATCGGCTAAAATTGGCTTACGAGCCTTTGTTACTGTTGACTTACGATGTTGCGCCGCTTCAGTTAAGGTAAAAGACAAAATTATGAAAACGCACTGAAGCGCCACGGCAAGTTTAACGCCGTCCATATACAACGGATACTACAATCGGACCGTCAATGAATTAGTAACTGCTGCAAACGTTTAATCAGTGCGACGGTCTGCGCCAATATAATTTCATCAACAGATGATCCGTAGTATTATCAATTAGCGTTAAAATATTATATACATCGGCCTTTTATTTTTATTTCTTATTATTCTATTCTAATAGGCAAAACCATTATTAGTTCAACAAGCTTATGTGCCCACACACATCGCATGTCATCTTTACTAATTGTGGTTAGAAGATTCTCTATTTTCTTCCATTGAATGTACATTTAATATGTTATAACTCAAAAAAAATTCTTAAAATTAAAAAAAATGATGAATTAAATATGATAAAATTATATTTTTTAGCACAATATCACGATAGTTCCGCTGCATTGGGTAAGCAGCAACACTAGCTCCAGGGTAACTCAAATAAGATATTTGATAAAGGCCTAGCGTTTTTATGACACACTTTTTTCCTCACTATTGTTTTTTAAATAAATTTTAACAAACAATGCTGGCACTTACGTAAATGTTGTATATCGTAATCAAGTTAAAAATATTTGTATCGGAGTTCTTTATTGGTCAAAAATGACATTTAATACCGGATGCAGCTTAATCTAGAACTTATATGATATAATCAATAACTAACATAAAACTCAAAAAATAAAAATTGTTAAAGTTTGGCATAATTAGAATATAGTTTTAAAACTCGACAGAGATATAATCATGGCGTTTAGAATACCAACTGATACACCATATTATTAGTATTTGCAACTATTTTTAATGGAACCCAAAGATGTCCATTTTGTTCTCAAAGACGAAGAATACCTTTCAACAAATTAACGTTTTTGACAAGACTAAACTATTTTAATTTACTCTAATCATAGAGTTTTAATTTGATAGAATTTTTTATTTCAATAAATATACGGTTGGTGTAAACATTACAAACAATGATAATTATTATTCAACATTAATTAATGATCTTAAAATTAACAATTTTATTGAATATTATAAAATGTTTATTTTGTGTTTTAATTTAAAACAATTATCGTTTGAGATTTTGTGTAATTTTCATACTAAAATAGAAATAGTCGAAAGACTGTAATTTGTATTATAAACAATTTCATCCTTTTTTTTTTTATTCGCAACTAAAAATTACAATTACATAAAACGAATTAAGACGCGATTTTCCAATAAACAAAATTAGCCGCTTAATGATAATTACTTTTTTAATAGTACTTAAAATCAGGGTCAAATTAGAACAGTCCCCATAAATGAATTGATGACCATTTTTTTCTCATAATACAAACAAAGATCATCAAAATTTAAATTTAAAAAATGTTTCAAAATTTCTTTTTGAAATAATAAATTACTTTCCTCCATTTCGTAGTATGATGTATAGCTGAATTTATAAAACATTATCAGGAATAATTGTAGGTACCCAACTTAATTATTTTAATTGGATTTTTAAAACACTAGGTATTAATAATAAACGCTAAGTAATGCTAAAAATATTACCTTGTAGACAGTGCATTGATCCAGTGCCGCTACTACGTTCTGAGAAATAATATACTTTATATTTAATCAAAAAATAATTTTTTATTTAAATTACTGTTCTTCTAAACTTATCGCTTTATTGTAAAGTACCCCGCAAAATATTGGGTTCTTGCATTGGTAATGTGTCGAGATGACATAAAATACCTTTATAATATAATTATAAATATACTATAATTGTTAAAATTTAATAGTCAAAAATAATCTTTAAGCTATAGTTTTAACAAATAATTATTAGAAGACACCACTGAGAAAGCAAGTGGTTACAATTATGTGATAAGAATTAAAAACGGTTAGATAAAAATAAGCTCTTAAAAGATTATTGGAATAAGTTTAAATCGTGTCAATGTAAACAGTTTTTCTATTCATCAAGTTAATGAGGTGGGTGGTATAAACCGACAATGTTTATTGGTTTAAAACGACTTAACCCATCCTTACAAATCTAATATTTGGATACAATTTATATATCGCCTAATAAAGAAGACACAAATTTACGTATACTATAAAAATACAAAAAGTGACTCTTCTAGATTTTATACTACTATTATTGTATTAGCATTAACATTATATATTAATATATTGATTTGTAAATATTTCAAAACAATTTTGTTGGAGTTTTTTAGATCAGAAATAACTCTTATTTATTATAAGCTAAAGTGAATAAACATATTCACTCAGTTTGTGAGGCCATATTACGCACATCCTAAGCACTTTATTCGCCAATTTAACAAAGCTACGATTACAGCCATATTTTTTATATATCCAATTTTTAGGAATACTTTTTTTTTTTAAAAATTTAGATTATCAATATAAGGTTAATTCGGGAGCTTTTGTGCTCTTAATTCTTTTGTTTTTACAAATTATATTATAAACTTAACAGTAAAGGATTTTTTTTTATGACTATCAAATATTAAGTCATATTTACGCTTAAAATTATCACGTATCGAAATAATTCAACTGTATCTTAAAAAAATATGAAATAAAACTAAAATTGTAATTATAATTTATGAGTGCATTGTTATAATAACCATTATGATAAAGTAAATTTATGTCATAATACGTAAGTTCCTGTTTAAATATTTAAATAAATAAATAAATATATTTTTAAGAACTTTAGACTACTAAAATACTTTCTTAATAGTATTGTAATTTTTCCCATTATATTCTCCTTTTGTCCCTCTAATTATAATATTCAAAAAATAAGAATAATCTAAATGGCAGTTCGCTTTTGACCTCTTGAGCATCATAACGTGTTAATAACTATTTGATTTTAGGATATAATTAACCAGTGCACAAAGTTTTACATCTGTAGTATTAATTAAATCACTCTTAATGTCCTTCTGTTATCAAACGTCCGGTTTACTTATTACATTAAATGATGTATATGGACATAAATAAGGCCATTTTTAAAAATTGAATAAATCTAAAATATATTACATAGAAGATTTCAGTATGGAGTATATATAATAAAACTTTGATTAGATGAAAAATAATAAAAAAAAAGTAACTACTATTGATATAACAAGTAAAAAATTGATAAAACTCACAAACAATTACTAAAATAAAAAATAAATAAATAAAAAATAATTATTTTAAATTTCTTGCACACATTATTATTAATTTACCAGAAATAATGTCAAACTGATAGTATGGTATACTATAATTTAATAAAATTGACCAACAAAAAGAAGCTACAATACAATATTAGTACATATTGTTGAAGTATGAAAAAAGAAACAATGAAGCACCAAAGGAGAAGATATGTAAAATAACAGAATATACGTTTATTCATTATTTCTGATCATAACTAATAATAATTGTTAATAATTGTAACATAGTTATAAATAATAATAATATTATAATAAGAAAAGCCAGAATGTTGACCGGTTTGTTGTTTATTGTTCAATGAAGAAATATGACTGGTCTTTGATTTGACAAAATATTTTATGTAATTAAATTGTGGTATCAATGACCTTTAGCAGCTTGTTTAGCAGCCATTATCAATGGAGTAAGACTAGCTAAAGGCCTTGAAAGTTTCAAAAATGGGTGCTGTAAAATAAATAAACAATAACATAGACAAATCAAATATATAAATATCTTAAAATATAATAAATTAATGAAAAAATATTAATATTTTAATAACTTAGTACAAAAACAAGATGATTCTTTTTTATTAATTTTTTTAGTTTTGACAAATTATTTTATTCAATTAAGATAAAAGTAACAAATATGTAAATTTGAGAAAGAAATAATAACAAAAAAATATTTAAAAATTGCTATTTTTTTTAATTTTCTAGTAGTAAATTATTCATATAATAATTTATTTTTTAAACTTCCTTAAAATTTTTGAGAAAATGGAGTTATCTACTTATTTTATAAAGCTCTCCATTTACTTCAATAGAAAAATCTTTAAAACCATTCTTTATACCATGTTATATATATACTATTATAAATTTAATCATGAATAAGTAGTTGAAGTTCTTTAAAATTTAATTTAATTTTGGAATAAGAGAATATCAACCTATAATATTTAAATAGATAATACAATAAAGTATTAAAATGATTGTTACATACTACACATTAGATGTATCAACTATTTTTTTTTACCAATTAGTAAAACCTAATAATTATAAACACTCCAAAAATATAGAATGTTAAAGGTTATCATTATTATACATTTTGTTTTAGATAAAATATGATATGTTCTATAATAATTGATTCATAAATATCTCCAGAAAAAATTATCACCGAATAAGTTTATTGGCTATTCATATGAAAAAATTAGAGAAAACTATTAATGTTCATAATAACACATTTTATTAAAAACAAATATTCTTATAAAAAATACAAATATAGAGTGATTCTTTTAAAGCTAGCCAGACCCATTATTCTGGAAGTTATTACGATTTTAAAAAATAGACTGAAAGTAAGGTGTGGCTTGAACATACTTATATTTAGACATTTGTCGTCCACACCTATCCCCCTCCAGCCAAGGTATAAAAATGTTAAAAACTTTTACAGTATTTATAGAATAATTTCATTCTTGAAAGATTCAAAACCTCAGCAATAATTTAAAAAAAATTATAAATATAGCCAATTAAAAAAAAAAATCAATTTAATAGTTAATAGTTAATCAATTTAATAGTTAATCTTACTTTTAGAAGTTCTGAAGCTGACGCTCTTTCTTCAACTTCTACTTCAAGGCACTGATCTAAAAAGTCTTGAAATATTGGAGATAACTTTTCTTTTTCTTTTATTTCTGGTTTACCGTTAGTTGCAATTAAATATAATGCCTAAAAATTAAAATAAGTAAATAAGAAATAAAATATAAAATAGTTTACTGAAGAAGTAATTAACTATGCATAATCGTTATTACAACATAATATCTTTAAAAATACATTTTTTTTAAAAAGCTTTTAAAATTCTATATACTATTAAACATAAAAATTTATTTCTACCCTCTTCTCTTACCACTTTAACAGATATCTATTAATATCAACTTAAGTTTTTTAAATGGGGAATTGTATATTTATCTGGCACACATCACAGTAAATTATCTAGTTAAAAATATGACTGATCGATTACTACTTTTGGACTAGTATTTTTGGAGATATTAAAATTTTAAAAAGTAAGCTAAAAATGAGACACGAGTCTGTTTATTTAAATATTAGGCATTTTTCAAAAGTAATGGTTCAAAAGTTATTAACAGCCAGTTTTTTTTTTAATTAGATCATAATCCAATATTAAACTAGTTAAATTCATATATTTCCATTTAAAAAATTTGAGTTGATATAGGTTTAAAGGATAAAGGGGGAAGAGTAGAACAGGATTTATTTTTTTAATTCATAGCATATTAAATTCACATTATTGAAAAGAAAATAGGTAAATTTTTTTTGTATATTTTAAGATAATATTGTGTTAGGCGTAGTTAATTAATCATTTAGTATTATATTACGAAAGTTGTAATGATAAAATTATATACTACACATACTCTTAAAGGATTTTCATTTAAATAAGGAGGTTCTCCTTCAATCATTTCAATGGCCATTATACCTAAAGACCAAATGTCAACTTTAGGTCCATATTGTTTTCGAGTTACAACTTCAGGTGCCATCCAATATGGGGTTCCAACCATAGTTGTACGCTTTGATTGCTCAGGTGAAATTTGGGCACAAAACCCAAAATCAGCTAAATAAATGATACAATTTATTTAGTTACCATGTCTTGTTGAAAAAGATATTCTTAAGATAAATACTGGAAACATACTCAATTTTACACTACCATCCAATCCAAGTAAAATATTATCAGACTTGATGTCTCTATGTATCACTTGATTAAAATGTAAAAATTGAAGGGCCTGGAGTACTTCTCGACAAACAGATGCAATTTGACCTTCATCCATACAAGTTTCAGTAACAACATCTGTCAAACTACCTCCAGGCAAATATTCCATAACAACCTGTTTTTATTTATTTTGTAAAATAATTTCATAAAATTATACAAGATGAAGGTGAGTACCAAGTCTAGGGAATTAATGCATTTAAAAAAATTATTTTATTCATCCTAAGTCAATCTATTATTAAATATACATAATTGTTTTTCTTAATACTAAATAATATATTTAATAAATTTTGTTATAGGGTGCACAGGGGATATTCCTGTTTTAAAAATGTTTCTACAATACTGTAATGCCTATAATAAATTTTCATGGAGTTAAGTTATCTTAAGTAAACCAAAAAAAATTTAAAAATACATTAATTCCTAAGCCTTAGTTATTATATACATGAAAATACCATTATGTCATAATAATTCAAATGTATTTACAATTATAATTTGGGGTTATTAATGTATGGATTGCATTTTATCAGAATTATTTTGTCAGTAAACCTAACAATAAATGTTGAGCCTATAACATAAAATTTATTAAGTTGAAAACTAAGAACAATCCTAACATATAGACGATAATCCAAATCTAATAAACAATTATTTTATTACAAACTATGGAAAATTTCCAATAATTGTAAAAAAAAAATATTATTTTCAAAAAATGTAATAAAATATATATATTTTAATTACATGGAAATAACTATTTTTAACTTGTTAATATAATAGAAAAAAATGATTAAATTATTTTGTTCTAAATATTTTTTTTCCAATAGAGCATTTATTACAATGAGTGTAGTATCGGTTAGGTTATAACTCGTATTGGTATATGTGCAATCTACCCACACTACATACCTTCAAAAATTAAATGGGAACCTAATATTATTATTTACTATTTTTTATGAGAATAGAGTAAATGAAATGTTGACTGATCAATAACCAATTTAGTATTATTACTTTTTAAGATAATATAATTATTAGTTATAGATGTAAGGGGTGCACAATATGGTAATGGTAATGGTAAAAACACTCAGATACTAAAAAATATTAGTTATGAGTTGAAAAGTTAAAAGCCAAAACGATGCTTAAAAACAAAATTCATATTCATAAAATATCTGTACAAAGTTAGAAGTTAATAGTTATAGAGCACTATATATTTTTTAATTATTTTACAATAATTTAAAATTTTTAAATTATAGATTACAGAAACTACAAATTACAACTAATTTATCACACCCTTACTACTAAATACTACTAGTTTATACTAATTACCACTATTCTACAAAGAAGTTATAATAAAAGTTTATAAGATATATTAAAAATAATAATCAAAAATAACTACTAAAATTCTATTAAGCTAAACAAAAGATTATCAATAAAAACAATATAATAAAAATTGATCACTTGTGGCTAATATTATTTAAAATTAATACTATGTTAAAAATATTATTAATTTAAAACTAAAAAATGGTAGCACAATAGGATTGCGACAGTGTGGACGTGGTGAGGTTGAGGACAAGTTTAGATGATATTTGACATTGATTAAAATCACTATCATAAGAAACACTTAGATGCAAATCTGTAGATAGTGTTTAATTTTAAAAGGTTGGTGGATTAAACTAAAAGCAAAATGAATTCCTATTTCCTTTATAATTCCTGATTAATAGTTTTTTGATTTAGAAGTATAATATATAAATAAATATTTATTATAGCAATTAAATTAGTATGAGATTGATATTTAATAATTTAATATTGTAATTTTTCCGGAGAATTTATAAAAAATTATAAAGTAGTTATTACTTTGATAGTAAACATGTATAACAATGAAGGGCTTGACACAAATCTTTTTAGATAACAATTTGTTGTTAATTATAAATAAATGGTCTACAAAAAATGTTCATCCGAGTCAAAAATGTACTTTTATTATTCAATTTTTCATGCTGATATCAAATCAGCAATAATATTTATTCTATCACCAATAATTAAAATATTCTTAAAATAACTTGATTAATTTTAAAGATTTAATTTAACTAAAAAAACCAAACAAAATATTGTATAAAAAATCTACTTAATTAAGCTTATTATAAAATTTGATTATAATTGTATACATTTTTTGTTAAATTGAATTTTGAAACTAAAAATAATTTTTTTTAGCTTTATGATTAATATATCAACATGTTACCAAAAAATTTGGAATATATAGACTGGTAGTAACACACAAATAAAGTTTAAAAAATCTGTGTACTCCCCTTATAAGTTATTATTAAATAAAATAAAATACAAAACCAAGAATTTTAACACAAAAATAGCATATTTTTGAAAATGGTAACCATTTTCATCATGAAGACAATCTAAAGTTCGAAATTTTTTTTTTTCATACTAAAGTATATTAAATAACCTTTAATTTAAGATATGTATAAAAGTGTCAGTATTTCTGGAACATTTTCAAAAATTAAGTTTAAAATGATCTAGTTTCTATTCATGTGTATTAAGTTGTAACATCCCTTGTATAAAGGGAAATGGTCAGATTTAAAAAAACAAGTATTTACATAAAAAAAATTACATTGGTTCATACATTTTTCAAAAAGTTATAGAAATATAAAGTTAAAAATGTAAATGATAGAATCAAGAATTTTGACACAAAAATAGCATACAGTAGCTATTTTAACCGTGAAGACAAAATAAAGTTAGAATTTTTTTTTTTTTGTCATAATAAAGTATATTATATTAGCTTTAATTTAAGATATATATAAAAGTGTCAATATTTCAGATACACTTTCAAAAGTTAATTTTTATGAAAAAGTTGTCATTTTGAATCCTCCTTGTGGACAAAATGGGTCAGATAAATAAAAAATATGATCAAATGATAGGCTAATACTTAATATTTTTATTAAAAAATAAAAGTTGTATTGATCCATACATTTTTCAATAAGTTATGGCAGTTTTAAATAAAAAAACCCAGCACAGTGGGATCGTGGCACAGTAGGAATGTGGCATAATTGTGTCCAGTATAGATTTAATCTGACAGTGATTAAATTCACTATCATAAGAAACAATTCGATGCAATCTAATTCAACAATAAATACTTTAAAATTATTAGAAATTAATGATTTTTATATTTTTTTATGGATAAAGCTGGTTAAGCTAATTTTTATTTGATTAAGGGATTTTTTTCAATTTTTGAGGGTAATATCTTCAACTAAATACGAATTGTAATCATTTGACGTATCATTGAAAAAATAAAGTTAATAAAAGGTTGAAAAAATAAATCACAGCCACAAATAAAACCACATAATAAAATAATATTAACATGAATAAGAAATTTCTTCTCGCGGGGGGAGACTATAGTAATGGGATCCTTGATATTTATTGAAGTTAATGAATCTAAATGAGATAAAAATCAAATGATTTGAAAATTTTTCTAACTTAAAAAAAATGCAAAATATTAATTGCCACAGGCTGATTCGAACATGGTACCCAACCGTGAAAGACACAAGTGTTACAGATTTGGCAACTGTTCGTCGCTTTTGTCAATTAATAAAATTAGCAATTTAAGCTAATTCAAATTTAAAAATTACTTTTTCGACATTAAAAAAGTAAAACAATTTTAATAAGTTTAATGTCTTATGTCTTATGAACTTTATTCCATGTCAATTAAATTATATAATATTCATAAAAGTCAGTGTATTCCCCTAGTAAGATATTTTAAAATAAATTAAAATACAAAACCTAAAATTTTAACACAAAAATAGCAAACGGTAGCCATTTTCACCAAGAAGAAAATATCTATTTCGAATTTTTTTTTTTTCAAAGTAAAGTATATAATATACGCTTTAATTTAAGATTAAATGAAACTGCGAATATTTCCAGAACATTTTCAAAAGTTAATTTGAAATAGTTAGTTTTTGTAAAAAAGTTGCTATTTTAAATCCCCCCAGTGAGTAGAATAATTGTTAGATTTTCAAAAAAAAATGATATCAAATAAAAGTTAATTACCTATGGTTTCAAAATAAAAAAATATTATTTTGTTTTTGTTAATATTTCAATAAGTTATGGTAGTTTTAAATACAAAAAACATCACAATAGGAGCTGATTTTTTTTGCAAATATTACATTTTTTGTTTAATTTTGGTGGCAATTTACTCATAGACAATAAGGTGTATAAGGTGTTTATAGACAATAAATTTTATTTTTCATTTTATAGTACATGACATAACCTTTGTTTTAATATGTTTTAAGTAAATCGGTCCAGTGAGAGCTGAGAAAAAGTGACAACAGACATAAAAAAAAAAACACATCATGGTAAAATTAATACCTTCTCAGCTTCACATCAAAGGTAATAAAGTGTCATTAAACATGGCCTCACTTTTCAAATTTTCTAAATTTTTAAATGATATTATTCCAAAAAGTAAAATTACAAAATTAGTTATCAACAAGGTGAAATTTTATATAATTTATTCCTCATTCTCTATTTAATTTCTGAAAGTTAACTCAACAATTTACTCTAAGAAATAATTATTTTTTACGGTAAACTTGATATTTACTATAGTTCATAGGAATAAATCAAATTTTTATCTGTATATTTGTATGAAAAAAATTATTATTTATAAGATAGTCAGGTGCTGGAGAAACAATGACCCTAAAAAAATGATTTAAAATAAAATAAATGATCATTACCCAAAGTTCTTCTTGCACTAAGTAACTATCTAAGTAGTTAACAACATTAGCATGTTTATTTTCTCGCATAACTAGTATTTCATTAATAATAAGCTCTTTCTTCGGCTGTTGTCCCAAATTCATTTGTTTTATAGCAACTTCCATTCCAGTAGATGTTTCAATTGCAGTGTAAACGGTACCAGAAGCTCTAAAAAACAAATATAGTTAAATACAAACACCTATTAAATCTGTGTAGAATGAAATACCCCTGTCCGATTTTTTCCATTTTTGTGTATTTTCTGTTAGGGTCACCAACAGTTACTATTGTTTTTAGTTGTTCTAATATTTCATTATCAGCAATTTTTTTACGACTAATAGTAGTTGTATTATTTTTATTTTTATCTAACATTGGTATAGTTCCATTGGTTTGACTAGGTCGATGTAATGGAATTGGTGAAACAACTTTAGGTTCTTCTTGTGTAATTGATATTGGTTCATCTTCTTCTATTGGTTTAGTATAAACAGATTTAGTACGCTCAGGTCGTACTGCAACTGGTGGAGGAGGTGAGATTTGTTCATCAGTAGTTGGTGTTGTAGTAAGAGATGGACTCGTACTACCCGTTGAAGAAGATGGCTGACTACTACTTACACCAGAATAAGAAGAACTTCCACCACTATGTGCACCACGTACCAATACTTCAGGCGGTTGAGTACTATTTTGTACTAACATTAAGAAATATTCATAAATTATTTTTCACTAAATTTTTATGAACTATAATTTGATAATAAATTATACCTATATTTGTAATTGTTGTCATATACTTTGAAGTTTTGGACTGTTTGCTAGAGTTATCAAACCAATTCAAAACATCTAGAACTGCTTGAGGATTTTTCTTTTGTTCTTGTTTACTAATATTAGATGTTATTAACAAGCGAGCCCAAGCTTCTGGCATTCCCTAAAATAAATATGTTATATAATATACTTTGATGTTCCAAACAAGTAATAAAACTTAGTTATTACTAACAATCAAAATAAAATTTATAACTATTTTTAAAACACTCTAGTATTGTTAAAATAAATTTTAAATTTCATGTCTTAACAGTTATACTTATCGCTATATAGTATTATACATTTCATAAACAATTTTTACAATACAAACTAGTAAAAAATAAGCATTAAAGGTATAAAAAAAAAAAAATAACCACACAAAATATATTCAATTTATATTCAAATTAAAAAATTTTCATTTTCTAATTGTCAAGTAAATTAATATTATTTATATAAATTAATGTTATTATTTTTATTAAATTGAACATTCATCGAGCTTTTAATGAGAATTTAAAATTATACTCATAAAGTCACATTTTTTTCAACTTGTAAAAATATTTTCAAACAGACACTCTTTCTTGATACTTAAAAAAAAAAACATTAATATCTATAATGATTAAATAAATTATTATAAGTTTTGAAATTAATTCAATATGATTTTGAAAAATTAAAAATTATAATTATATACAACATTTCTTCTGTAAAAATTAAACAGTAAATTCAAACTTGAAGCATTGTGTTTGTTTGCTAAAACTACTAATTCAAAATATTCTATGAAATATACACTATATAAAAGCTGTGGACATTACTTACTTTATACGGCAGCTTGAAAAAGAAAAAACACAACAATCTAGAAAACTTATTCATCATGAATCATGATTTTATTAATATTTTAACTATGTGCTGCAGCATAATATAAAAATAAGCACCAAAATATGAGAAAAATATTTTTAATATGTTTAATTTTTATTTAATTAATTGTTATGAACCATAAACAAGATATTTAGAATAAGACATTATGTAAAAATGAATTTTTAAATTATAGATAAATAGAATTAAATACCATAAATTATAAATTCTATAAATTGTATTTTAAATAAAAAATTTTACATGAATATTATTTTTTGAAATAGCATATATTTTTGAATATAGATTATAACATTAAAATAATATAATATACAATTGAAATTTTTCTTTAAAGGGCTATAAAGCATAAGCTTATATTAGCAATAAATATATACAAATTAAACTAGACAATAGCTTTTCTATAGTTAAAAAAAAATGTTGGTATTAGTACTTACAGTAAATTCCCCTGTATGGGCATCAAAACCTACATGCATTGTATGTTCAAAGTTTGTAGGATATGAGATTTCAGGCTTATCTTCACAAACATTTCCTCGAGATTTTAATTTTCCAGTAACACGACTTTTAGCCGTTTTCTTTTTATAATCTGAGTCTGGTTCTTTAGGTAATGGTCGCATTATATCTAAATTAGGAATGGAATCTCCACGTGCAACTCTAAAACTGATATATAAAATCATTACATAAATATTAAACAAACACGAATGTAAGTATAATAATTATTTATACCTATTACTTGTGAGTCGAACTGGAGGAGCTGGAGGTTTATCATCATCATCAGACATTTTGTTATGGCAGTAAATAAAACAATACTAACTAAACAGCATTAGATTGTTCTGAAACAATAGAATACTAAATTACAATTATCCACTAGAAAACATACATGGCAACTTTTGTAAAAATTACAAAAAGAGTATTAAAATTATATTCTAGTTTTGACTCCACCTAAATAATTAGTCATAAATTATCACTATTTTTAGAATTCTTACCTTATACATAGAACTGTAAACGACTTTTAGTTACAAATCAAATACTTCAAACAACATTTCCAGTATATACAGGCGTTATTAATTTGTTAAAGAACTAATATAGACGAACACAACTTAATTGGGTTATAAGTTATAAAATAAGATTATCACAAAAAAATGAATTTAATGTATCAAATTTACATCTTAGGACCTATTATCGCAACTTTTATAAAAAATCATATCATTAATATTATTTCTCTAAATTGTCAACACTGATTAAAGACTTTATAAAAACTTCGGATTACTACTTTTTGTCCCACAAACTTCTTGTTCCAATGAATATTTGTACTATAACTAATATCCAAAATTATTACTTGTTCCAATGAATATTTACTCTAATTAACAATTAATTATTTGTTCTAACAAATGTTATATCCAAAGTATAGTTGTTCCGATAAATATTTTGGCTTCGATGCGAAGCTGAGAAGGTATTAATTTTACCATGATGTGTTTATTTTTTTATTTTTTTTATTTTTTTTTTTTATTTTTTTTTTTTTTTTTTTGTGTCTGTCACTACTTTTTCTCAGCTCTCACTGGACCGATTTCTTTTAACAATACGTCAAAAGATCACAAATTGTATCTAGTTGAAGACATTACCCTTAAAAATTTAAAAATTTTCCCTCGTTCCCCGCAAATGGGGGAAATATCCAAAAAAATTACAAATTTAAAAATCGACAAATTTTGTCATTTTTTTCACTTTTTTTTCTTAAAACTTCCATAACTTTTTCAAAAATCAACAAATCAACATAATTTTTTTTTAAACTAAAACCTTAGATATTTTCCTTTCATTTGATATAATTTTTTTGAAAATTTAACACTTAACCTGCTCATGAGGGGGGATTTAAAATTGCAACTTTTTTACAAAAACTAACTTTTTCAACTTAATTTTTGAAAATGTTCCGGAAATACTGCGTCCTTTAAACATATATCAAATTAAAGCTTTTTTTATGTACTATAAAATGAAAAAAAAAAATTTGTCCCGACACCTTATCTTCTATGTGCAAATGGCTGTCGAAATTATAAAAAAAATGTAATATTTGCGATAAAAATCACCTTTTATAACGATGTTTTTTGTACTTAAAACTGCCATAACTTTTTCAAATATTAACTAATCAAAATAATATTTCTTTATATTGAAACCTTAGGTAATTTTCTTTCATTTGATATCATTTTTTTTTGAAAATCTAACACTTATTCTGCTCACAGGGGGGATTTAAAATAGCAACTTTTTTACAAAAACTAACTTTTTCAACTTAATTTTTGAAAATGTTCCGGAAATACTGCGTCCTTTAAACATATATCAAATTAAAGCTTTTTTTATGTACTATAAAATGAAAAAAAAAAATTTGTCCCGACACCTTATCTTCTATGTGCAAATGGCTGTCGAAATTATAAAAAAAATGTAATATTTGCGATAAAAATCACCTTTTATAACGATGTTTTTTGTACTTAAAACTGCCATAACTTTTTCAAATATTAACTAATCAAAATAATATTTCTTTATATTGAAACCTTAGGTAATTTTCTTTCATTTGATATCATTTTTTTTTGAAAATCTAACACTTATTCTGCTCACGGGGGGGATTTAAAATAGCAACTTTTTTACAAAAACTAACTTTTTCAACTTAATTTTTGAAAATGTTCCGGAAATACTGCGTCCTTTAAACATATATCAAATTAAAGCTTATTTTATGTACTACTAAATGAAAAAAAAAAATTTGTCCCGAC